ATTTGAAAAAGGGTATTTTTGAAAATAGATAGAAAAGAGGGGTATTTTTAAAAAGGGGTACACCAAAAGGGGCATTTCTCAAAAATTCTCTATAATCATTAAATAACGGTTTGACCAAATAAAAATTATTAACTAATTGAATTAATGATAAATTTTGTAGATATCATTTGTGCTATACTTGCTTGATTGATTTTTGAATATGAATATTTTTATGTGAAAATAAGAAATTTATGTGATCTACAATGTTTATTCGTATGATTTTAGTAAACAAATATTTAATTATTGATTTATTTAAATTTTATTTATATTTTAAAATTATATAATTTTTAAATTTTTTTATGATATGATCAGTTATGTATATATACTATGTAGAATTTGATTAGTTGATTATTTCATATGCTAACATATTTTTTTTATCTTTTTTTCATTTTTCTAAAAAAATGTTATCTTTGTTATTTTAGATATATGATGATTTTGTTTTATTAGATTTCATTCTATATAAATTATTAATTTCGAAATTATATTAAAATATTAAATTAATAATAAATATGTTTATGTATATTCGAAATATATTTGTTTACATATATTTAGTTTTGAATTTAATTGTCCACTTTTTGTGGTAAAAGATTATTATGATTTATATAAATATAGATTGTTTTTGTTTTTTTTTGTTTTTTTTTTATGTCATTAATTCTGTTTGGCAACTGCTTTTATTTTCATGAAATTTATTTTTAAAATTGGGGGTGTTTGGCTTCAAGTTGTCCTTCCCAATTAATAGTATAGATTGAAATAAGGGGAAACTTATACAGAGAAATCTGGCTGAAAACGTGATTATGGGTATTAATACAGTATGAAATACATACGATTACGATACGATACGATTGGAAACGAGAGTATTCATTCATCATTAAAAAATCATAAATACCGCAGCCCCCACTACGATGATATGACCAAATTTGTGTTTGCGATAAAGACTTCTCTATCCCTCAGTTAAAGCATCCCAAAAAAATTCCTTTAAATTAGTGTTAATTTTTCTCTAAGGTCTTACACTAATTACTTAATTAATATTACGTACTAAACACTTCAATTAATTGAAATGTTTGAACATACTATTTTTTAAGAAACACACCTTATGACTAATTGTCACAGATTTTATAGACTATAGTTAGGGAATCATATTTTTCAATATATATAGAGTAGATTATTTTTGAATGTATTACATATGATGAAATATATTGTCCAAGTCTAGGCCAAAAATAAAAGAAAATAATAGTAACATAATATTGCTCACTACTTCTCCTTTCTTCTAATAAATTGAAGAAAGCAGCGACTTTACTTCTCTCTCTCTTTCTCTCTGACTCTGAAAAAGATGAAGTGGAGAAGTTAATGTTCACCAACTTAATACTGCAAAGTCTGAATCTTTCTTCCTTCTTCTTTGCCTTCTCTTTCAAGTGTGCGTCCCTCATTCTCCTCTCTGGTGAGTTTTGAAGAAAGATTGGTATCTCCCTCACTTACATATATGCAGTGATTCTTGTTTGTGTTCTTGAATGTGTTAAAGATAACAATATCCTGGGTTATTTATGTTGTCCAGATTGAAGTCGGGAGTAGCAGAGGAGCTGTCTCGGATCTGGTAAGCGAGAGAGAAAGAGATTTGAGTTTACTCACCAGACCAAATCTTGTTGAGAGAAACAAAAAAAAAAATGAGTAAAGAAGAGTTTATGAAGATCCAGGTTTCTTCACCATTAACTCTGATACTCATTCTCTCACTGTATATCTTCTGTTGACTTAATCTGAGAAATATATTTTTATATTTTTGTAGACTTGTGTTCTTAAAGTGAACATTCACTGTGATGGCTGTAAGCAGAAAGTCAAGAAAATCTTGCAGAAGATCGAAGGTATTGAACCAAACTCAAAATTATCTTTTTGACTTTTTTTTTAAGTCACAAACCAAGATTTTTAGTTTGTTGACTAAAGTCTTGGAAACTTATTCTGTGTTTTGTCTGAAACCAAAAATAACTCAGGTGTTTTCACGACCAAGATTGACTCAGAGCAAGGGAAAGTGACTGTCTCAGGGAGTGTAGATCCTTGTGTTCTCATCAAGAAGCTGGCCAAATCTGGTAAACATGCTGAAATCTGGGGAGCTCCTAAGGGTAACAACAATCCCAATCAGTCCCAAATGGCGAATCAGTTTAAGGGGATGCAGATTGACAATGGAAAAGCAAGCGGCGGCGGTGGTGGCGGCGGCGGAAACAACAATAACAACAAGAAAGGTCAGAAGGGCGGCGGAGGAGGTAACAGTAATGCACCAAAGATGGGTCAGCAACTGAATCCTCAACAGATGCAGCAGCTTCAACAGCTTCAGAAGATGAAAGGGTTTCAAGATCTGAAGCTTCCTCCTCAGTTAAAAGGCTCTGCTTCAGCGAACAAGAACCAAAACCAGAACCAGAAAGGAGTCAAGTTCGATGTTCCTGAGGATGATGATGATGATGATGATTTTAGTGACGAGTTCGACGATGAGTTTACTGATGATGATGACGACGACTTTGATGATGAGTTCGATGATCTCCCTCTTCCCTCTAATAAGATGAAGCCTAATATGATGATGCCTAATGCTCAACAGATGATGATGAACGCTCAAAAGAACGCTAATCTTGGCGGTGGTCCCGCTAAAAACGGCGGTAAAGGCGCTCCCGGCGGCGGTGGTGGTGGCAAGGGTGGTCCTGGTGGCGGCGGTGGAAATCAAAACCAAGGCGGCGGCAAAAACGGCGGCGGTAAAAACGGTGGTGGTGGTGGACATCCGCAAGACGGTAAAAACGGTGGCGGAGGTGGTCCACACGGCGGAAAGAAAGGTAACGGCGGAGGTGGGCCTATGTCTGGAGGGATTCCGGGCGGTTTCCGACCCATGGGAGGCGGAGGAGCACCACCGAACATGAGCATGCCTATGGGTATGGGTGGTCCGATGGGAAATATTCCGGCGGTTCAGGGATTACCAGCGAGTGGTCCGGGCGGTGCACCGCCGGGTTATTTCCAAGGGGGCGGGGCAGATCCGATGCAAATGCAGCAACAGCAATATTTAGCAGCTGTAATGAACCAGCAAAGAGCTATGGGGAACGAGCGGTTCCAACCAATGATGTACGCACGTCCACCACCGGCGGTTAACTATATGCCGCCAAACCCGCACCAATATCCGAATCCGCATCCGTACCCGTACCCGTATCCATACCCACAACCTTACGGGAATGATCAATACTCTCATGCCTTTAGCGACGAGAACACATCAAGCTGCGATATAATGTGAGAAAATGGTCAAACAATTCTAAAATAAATCACCAAAATAGTTTGTGTATTACTGAATCCTTAAGTTGGGTTTTTTTTTTCTTCGATGGATCGTCGAATGCCAAGTTGTTTTAGGTTGGTTTTTTTTTTTTTTTTTTGGCCTGATCACTTTGTGATAGCTTCGGTAATTTAATAGAGAGAATAATATAAAAACTTTTTAAAAAAAAAATAGTTTTCTCAGTTAATTGTGATTTTTATACTATTTGGTAATTGTTCTTAGTGAGAATATACGCGTGTACGGGAGTTCCTAGAACAAATTTGGAAGAGAGATACCAAAATCAAATTTGACACTTTAGGGTTTGATCTTATAAAAGAATACTACAGTATATGTTTTGTCTTCAAAGAGGATACCGAATCTCAATGGTAGGAAGAAGTGGAGTTATGTCATATGGACCGTTATATTATTAAGATAACATCTCTCCACTAAATTTGGATCTTGCTTTTATTTCTTCTTGTTTAGTTTCTCTGAATTATACTAGTTGGAGTATTATATATTAAAGGTGTTTTTCCTCCTTTTTAATCTTTTGTTTGTCGTCGAGTTAAGGAAAACAAAATATTATAAGCAAAAGTCAGCATGATTGGTTGCATTTAAACTTAAAAGTTAAAATAGGAAAAGTTTTAAAGAAAGGGGGAAAAAGAAAGAAATCTTATTATATAAAGTTGGGTTTTCAAAGTTAGTTATTAACAAGATCGTGACACGTGTTAATTTAATTAATAAGATGTTGACACATGTCAAATAATTAGTGGTAAAAAATTATATAAATTACTTTTCAAAAATAGAATATTTTCAAAATAGAAAAAAAATCAGGAAATTTAACAATTACTTAATAGTAATTATACATGAAACAATTACTTAGTAGTGTAGTAATCCTAAAGGGAAAAAGATAGTAATTATAAAATAAAATTATTAATAAAATTATAGAAATTAGGTCTAAGTAATTAAAAAAATTAACAAATAAAGAAAAAAATACAATAAGTTAATCTAAATAAGTTAGTCACTAATATGACATGTGTCAATTGTATCGATAAGGTATTGACATGTGTAAATTTAAGATATATTAAAATATTTTAAAATTAAATTTATAAACCTATCATAAAAAATTCTACATAAGTAATACATATAAAAGTATACGTAATTATAATGGATTTTTATGTTAATTCAAAAATTCTTATAATGTAAAATTTGGTTTTTAAAGTTACTAACTCACGTGATTGTGATATATGTCAAGTAAAACATTAGATGCCGTGACACATCTAAAAAATTAGATGAAAATAGAAAATTACAAAAAAAATTGAAATATTCAAAATTTTTTACTTATTATTAATCTAATTTTAGGTTATGTCAGTTTGGGTTTATCAAAGAGATTAAGGTATAATATTTATAATTAAACAGATTATATGTCGATTTTTGTTTATAAAAAGTATTAAAGTTTACTTTTTACTACTAAACATGTTATATGGTTGCTTGGAATTATAAATGAGGATTATGGTTTAGATTCTACAATTAAACAAGGTTTTATGTCGATTTAGGTTTATAAACAAGGAGTAGAGTTTAGATTACATAATTTATACAAGGTTATTTATCTATTTCAATTTATAAAAGAGAATTAAAATTTAGATGATACAATTAAGCGAGATTATGGGTTTAACAAAATAAATGCGTCTATAAAATGTTTTTACTTTTTAAATATGTTATAACTGTTTAATTTTTAATTCATATTTAAATGTAATATGTCATGACTCATGGTGCAATCTCTTGGGCTAAAACAAGAGGGGTGAATAAAAGAGAACTAAAAAAGAGACATTATTAACTTAAAATAAAGATAAAAAAGTCAATATAACTCATAGTATAATGATTTCTCAAATACTTTTTCCAAATATATAATTTTGTACACTTTCTTATTTAAAATATTTCTTAATGCTTATCTCAGTAACACTATAACTCATTTTTTTTTGGATTGATGTTAATTTGTAAGAAATTTACCATAAAATTTTGTAATCATTAATTAATTTTAAGAAATATATTAAATTGCAAAGTAAAAATATGCGAGAATAGTTTTTAAAAAAACTGGAAATTAGGAAATAACATTTTTTAGGATAATGGTATAATCATGTTTAGGATATAATATCTAAATTAAGTTTTTTGGAAAATTTGGTAATAGTAATATTATGAAAATGGTGAATAGCTCACAATCTTTTTGGGGATCGATAATTTAACATTACTTGACTTTTATGATAAATGTTTAATAACGATTTTTCCTTATGTATGATACATAAATAATTTTTTCAACAAAAAACAATTTACTAACTTTATATTTTTTAAATACTTTCGATATAATATTTTTACAATTAAATTTAATTTTAATTTTAGTTTATTATGAAAAATATAACCTGTCTATTAGACGAACCCTAATCTATATTAGAAAATATGATATTCAATTAATATTGAATTTTTTTTTTGTTAGTGCTATGATTTTCAAAATTTTAACGCATGCACTATTTTTAGTTCATACGTGAAAACATAAATTTTGACCCGCGTTTTTACGCGGGCCTTATCTAGTATTGATATAAACGACTCATGACTAATTTTATGAAAAAATAATAATAAAGTTTTTGGGTCGTGATCATATATTGTATATAATATATATATATTTAGAGTCTTCATAGTACGTAAATAATTGGTCATCAATCTCTATCACCAATTCACGTCAGATGTTACCGTTGCTAGCCTCTCTGTAGTATTATATTAGAGATTATCGAATCACTAGTCTATTGCAACCAAATCAATTCCTATCATGACTTTAATCCACACAAATATATAATATATTTTTAAAAAAATAATGCGCATCCCTAACTACTATTGCAAAATGCAAAAATGCCCATATACATGCATACACTGTGTATGATACAAGAATATGATGTGTAGAAGATGATATATATATATATACACGGATATACCATTGATTTAATGATACCATGTTGCATGATGTGTATTGATGATGATGGGGCCAAAGTGAACAGTTAAAAGGAAGTAAATGGCTATGCGTAATGCGGATGCGGGCAGAGCTAAAAGTGTAGCGTCTCAGCAGAATTGTTCAGTGACAGTACTGCTTATTTCCTTTTCTCTTTAACATACTGTACTTATGAAAATACGTACATATACACAGACGGAAGACGATGAAATAATGATATACATAAACATGCCGACTAAAATACACGTACGTATGTTGAGAAAATACATGCCTTGACCCGATAGTATTATATTTTATACAGTGAAATTGTGTATTTTTAAGTTAGCTAGGAACATACATACATATAGATTAGCAGCAGTATTTTTCTCTCCACTTTGAAAACAATTCGTTTTCTTTTCTTACAAGTTACAATGTTGTCGCCTAACTGTAACACTTCGAAATTTCTTTAAATGGTTAATTTTATTTTTCATTGCAGTGCTCAGAATCAGGGTATCCTATATTTATGTATTTTGCATTTTATTAGATAAGTACTGCCCACAAATTAAATTATTTGACCTTAGAAGAAGAAGAAGAAGAAGACAAGTTGTATATATAAAAAAAGAAGTGAAATGCGACCAAGTAAGCGTGCGAGCAGCTCGAGGAGATCCGACATTTGTTCATCTCTTGTTTGGATACAGCTCTAAGTCTATCCCCATCCCCCATTCTTCAAAACAATGTCGTATTTCTCTACTACTACTACTACTACTACTACTACTACTACTACTTCAAGATTCATAAATGCACTATGTCGCTGTCTCGTGACATTCTTTTGTCTCTTACTAAATTTCTCTCTCTCTCTCTCTCTCTCTCTCTCTCTCTCTCTCTCTCTCTCTCTCTCTCTCTCTCTCTCTCTCTCTCTCTCTCTCTCTCTCTCTCTCTCTCTCTCTCTCTCTCTCTCTCTCTTAATACTTCTCTCTCTCTCTCTTAATACTTGAATATGTATAAGTACAAAGTAGAGAAAGGTATGCATATACAAAGATACGTCACGTTTGTGAAGTTGGATACATTTACATTGACATTCACTGCGTGAGGTCTCTTTTATTATAGTATATCCTAATTTTCAGTTAGAGTACGCATGCCTTTGCACCCACCTTCTTTTACTTCTAGGCTAGTAATTTCTACCCTCGTCTTGGTTCTTTACTTACCGCGTTCCTCAATATCTATATACTAAAATAAATGTATTATTTTCTTATTTACCAAAACTTTATTGTTGAGACAAGCGTTGAAACAACTACATGCATGATGACGTGAAAACTTTAGGTTAAGAACATTTGATCAAACAATATTGCCATTCAGCAAATCTAATTGTTAAACTTTATTAATGATGAACGCCAACGATTGTAAAAAAGACTGTAGACAAACATTGAGTAAATATTGGATTGGTACTCTTCAAAATTGCAGAGTGACGAAATGGTTTACACTAGGCCTGGGAATCCGAACCGAACCGATTCGTCCGAACCGAACCGAACCGAGATTTGGGTTAATCGGTTCGGTTTCTGTTTTTAAAGTAAAACCGATCGGAAAGAGTTTAATTTAGGTTCGGTTAACCGAGTTTTTCGGTTCGGTTCGCCTTAACCGAACGGTTAACCGAAGAATTAAAACCTCTAGTGTGATATAACCTAGCCCCCTAGTCTTCTCTTATTCTTCGCAGTCTTCTTCTTCTTCTTTGGTTCATCACCATGTATCATCATCATCTTCGATACATCATCTTCTTCTTCTCCTTCTTTTTCTTCTTTACACCCGAATAACCTCGTTTTAGCTTTGATGATTAGCTAAAACCGCTTCCACAAATCTTTTAAACGTGTAGCAATTTCGAGAGAAGGTTCAGATTCGAAGAAGGTGAGAGATTGAGGTTGAGCTTTTTCGATTGTGCGGTGTTGGGGTCGCCGGGGAAGGTCTCTTTGAGTCAGTTCTGGTTTGTGTCGTAGTCTTGCGGCTAGGGCAAACTTTGTGTCTAGGTTTGAGAGTTGCAGCAACTGGACTGGGCTTTTTGTAATTTTTTTTTATTATTTTGTTTTGGTATGGCCCAATCAATGAAATTGATTTTTTTGAATTAGAATTGGCCCAAATGCATTAAAAAAAAAACAATTTCGGTTCTAAATTTCAAAAACCGAAATAACCGTGTCCGAACCAAACCGAACCGAAATCTTATTCGGTTAACTTCGGAACAGCTTTCAGATTTCGAACAAACCGAAAAACCGAGAAACCGACACCGAACTAACCGTTGTAACCGAAGTCGCAGGCCTAGTTTACACTTTTACAAAATAACTTTTTTTTTTTTATGGAATCCCAGTTTAGATCCAGTATCCCACAGTGTTATAATATTTAAACTATATCATTTTATCACGCAATAATTATTCATCATGATTCTATCGTTATGCGTTGTGACATTAGTTGGAACCACGTACAATCCTATGTTTTCATGAAGTAGGCTCTACAAGAAAACATTGATATAACCTTTTAGAGCAAACATAAATTAAGTTCCGTTGTTCCAAGCTTCTTCATGAGTCTCAACTACCTAGACGGCTCATTAACTAAGATTCTTCACAACAACTAGCTAGTTTTCTTATTTATTTATTTTCTTCTAATTCTTAAAACTTTAGTTCCATACTATTATAAAGTTAAGAATAACTCAATGCATGTTCCAAACAGCAGAAAAAGTTGTAATGAAAGAAAAAGATGAGGAACAATATAATCCTTACGTCCCAAAAAAAGTGGAAGATGGAAAGAAATGTTGGTGACAAATGTTTGTAGCTAGCCGCAAATGTTAGGCTACAATACGTCTAAGACATGCAAAAGTGCATGCTCCCATTTAATCAAAATATTAATTTTAGGAGTGTAAAGAATTTAACTCCAACATGGATATATTCAATTTGTTCGTGTTCTATCACGTTATCTACAATTTTGATCGAAATTGCAATAAAAAATCAATTTTGCAAATAAACAAAACTCACGCTAGCTTGATCAAGATATATCTCGGTATGCACATACCTATGTCGTACCAAACATACACTCCAAAAACTATAATTGATTGTATGAATTATTTTGACAAATTAAAACCAACAACTTAAGGTACGATTGATAATCTTACGAAAATCTGAATCTTCTTTTTTTTCCAATTTCTTTCTTAAGACACATTATCTATGTCAATCTAAACCAGTTTTAGGTTTGGGGTTGGTTCTGGTTAAGTGCATTCATATTCATTGTAGCAAGTAGCAACAGAGGAAATGTAATTTCTGCGTTTTCATTTATTTCAATTTGCTAATGGACATGGCAAAACGCTCATCATCAATAGTTCACAAGAAAAAATCCTTCACAGCACGAATCCAATAAGTCTTTTGGTCATCATCAAGGGGATCATGAGACTTGTTCGGAATCTCTCCAGAGTTCCTCACGACACTATCTTCTTATCGGCTGAAGTCTCACCATGTACTGTGTGAAACAGAAAAAAGGTATATTGTATGTATCTCAATAGGAGTTGGATTATAAGGACAATCTACGGTCTCTAGCAAACAGATGTTGGCATTTCAGCCTCTGGATCAGCCTCTTCTGAATGATAGCTTCTTGATACTTTTATGTTTTCTGTAATCTAACACCTAGACTAAACATATCATATGATACAATCAATGTATGTTTTCCAACAGGAAATGTTCTATAACCCAGTCCTTGTTTTTTTCATTTCGTAACTTAAATCAATTAGCTATGTTTTAAAAGGTTTCCAGGAAAAAAGAGAGATAAAGATTATCTGTAACACACAGTAGGAAAAGAAATCATACCTTGGATGGATTTCTCAAATTTCTGCAGCTGCGAAATGAAACCGAAATTAGGCAATGCTTGAGGACGTCGACTCTTAACGAGTTCCATAGCTTTAGAGAAGCCCATTCCATGCTTTTTCATCAGATAAGCCACCACTATAGTCACACTTTAAAGAAAAAATCAAACCAGTTACACTGTGTAAGTATAACACTATAACAGAATGACAAATAACACAAATACAGGGTCAAGAAGACTCTTAATTTGTCCACATAATATGTAATCTATGCACATACCACTTACAGCACTCTCCAGCGATACCAGAACCAGGAAGCTAGAACGTATAGAAGCAAACTACAAGATTTCATATATAAGACTGCAATCTAAGTCTATGGATTCCTGCGGTTACTACTTACTAGTGATGAAAGAGCTGCATACTTTGACATCCTGTGAGCTTCTAACATAATTGCAATTGCTTAACATTAACTTAACCCCTACAGAATCAATGAGATGAAGGGAAAAGAGAAGAAACCTCCTAGACATTCCCATGAAGCAATGAACCAAAACACCACCTCCAGATTGAATAGCTTGGTCAATGAAGCTAAAACACTCATCGAAATATACAGTCAAATCGGTCTCCTCTCTATCAACGACTACACTCAAATCACACAACAGATTAGAATCATCTACTCCAAAATTTCAAAACAGGATTCGATGAAGAGGAAACACACACACACCTTCAATGACTTTATAGACAAAATCATCAGGATAAGGAGGAGCCAAAGCCACAGCTACGGTTAAGATATGGGTGACATTGGAGCTATGGAGCAAATCCTTGTTAGTCGCTTCAGCTACTGAACCAATGAACAAACCCTGGGGGTTTTCCGAAAACTTCAGAATCCAAAAAAAACAAATTCCGAAGTGTGAAATTAGATGGGAATAGAAAGAAACAAACCTGTTGGATCTCGCTGAGATCGTTGCCTCCTTCGCGTAGCTTCTGGGAATTAGCTTCTCCAACTCCGAAGAGATCAACCACTTTCTCCATCTCTCTCGCTTTCCTTTTTCTTTCTTCTCCACTTGTACAAGACGACGATACCATTCAGAACCCACCTTTGGTCCTTTACTCCCAATGACAACGACAAACGTGGCTGTTTTTTCCAATAGTTTTTAATATGTAATTGTAATATGCATTTCAACAGGCACCAGTGGTCTAGTGGTAGAATAGTACCCTGCCACGGTACAGACCCGGGTTCGATTCCCGGCTGGTGCATAACTTTTTGTTTTTAAGTTTTTAGATTTAGAAAAATACATATATGTTTTATTAAATGACAGTTATGTTACAATTAGGTCTTTTAAAAGGTAATAAGGTTTATAATAGAAGTCTCATCTTTACAGTTTTACGCATGGAACTTGATAGAAAAAATTGCATGACTTAGAAATCACCAAATTAAAATTAAGAAAAATATTGGTAGGAAGGAAGTGAAAATCCTAAACACAAGAAAAGTGTTGAACACCCTCCTCTCTCCTTTCAAACTGCTTAACCAAAGGAAACTAGCACTCTTCTTCTTCTTCTTCTTGTAAAAATTATATACTCTTTAATTTCCATCTTCTTTGCGTTTTTCTCTCTGTCTCTCTTTATTTTATTTTCTGGGATCATTCATAAAGCCGATCAAGCCACATTGATTTTGTCTGTCCTCGACGGTTCTTGCATCAACTATATCGAGGGATATAGAAGATGAATGGTGAGGCACGGCCAAGAGTAGTTGACCAAGAAGCTGGCTCAACTCCATCTACTTTGAGAGATGAAGATCATCCGTCCACGCAAAGATTGTTCCGATGTCTCCCTTTTGACATAGATCTCAATCCCTTACGCACTGTAAGCTTCATATAGATAGATAAACCATATAAGCCTATATATATATGCATGCACCTAGTCAGTTAGTTGCCTCCATAACACATTATTTTTATGGTCATTATCTTTACTATAGATAAAACAAATATCTTTGTATTCAATTAATGCTAATACATATCTCGGGAATAATGTAACAAGGTCATAGCGGAATTGGTTGGGACATTCATTCTAATGTTCAGTGTGTGTGGGGTTATAAGCAGTACCCAACTATCCGGTGGCCACGTCGGATTGCTAGAGTACGCCGCCACCGCTGGATTATCGGTTGTGGTGGTAGTTTACTCCATCGGACACATCTCCGGCGCCCATCTAAACCCTTCGATCACCATTGCTTTTGCCGTCTTTGGTGGATTTCCATGGTCTCAGGTAAGCAAATGTAACATGTTCCCCTTACGTACGTTTTCATAGGCAAGAACTTAATGTTATTACATGCATGTGAATGTTGTTTGTCAGGTTCCGCTATATATAACGGCGCAAACGTTGGGGGCAACGGCAGCAACCTTAGTTGGGGTGTTAGTGTACGGAGTAAACGCGGACCTTATGGCAACAAAACCTGCGTTAAGTTGGGTTTCTGCATTTTTCGTTGAACTCATAGCTACGAGCATTGTCGTGTTCCTCGCCTCTGCTTTGCATTGTGGTCCTCATCAAAACGTAAGTGACCACATACATGTATATATATACAGGATATTCTTTCCCGTCTTAATTAACTAAAAATAAATATATATCCACTAAACAAAATAACACCTAAATTAGTGTGTATTTAATTGAATCGATATGTGTTCTTTTGTACAGTTGGGTAATTTGACGGGGTTCGTCATTGGAACAGTCATTTCCCTTGGAGTGCTTATTACCGGGTACTTTAATTGTACTTAATAATCATACTTTGTCCGTAGATAACATATAGTTTTTATAATTTGAAAAAAATCAAAGTTATTAGTACTGTATTATAGAAGATAGATATTTCATATAATGCTAACGTTTACTAGAATACGGGTATGCTCAGGCCGATTTCAGGAGGATCGATGAACCCAGCTCGATCACTAGGACCAGCGGTGGTGGCATGGGATTTTGAGGACTTATGGATTTACATGACGGCTCCGGTGATTGGAGCTATCATCGGAGTTTTGACATACAGATCAATTAGCCTCAAAAGCAGGCCTTGCCCTTCTCCACTCTCCCCTTCCGGCTCTTCACTTCTACGTTAATCACCTATAAACCCCTAATGCTCTGCTAGTTTACCTCAATCTACAAATAAACACTTTTTCACTCTACGTTTAAATGTTTAATTGTAGCCTATTGGGCCTCGATAGATATTAAACAGAGAGCTTCTTTAATATATTTAAGAAAACAAAAAATAATTGACATATATAAACTCTCCAATCCTTTTATTAGGTCATAAGATAAAGATCCCGTTTCGTATTGCGTTAACAGAGAGCTTCTTTTAAAGATGAAGATGTTTATAGAGGGTAAGTAAATGAAAACAGAGAGCATTTTAATTTGTTCTTACAAAATGCAATATCGAACAAAAATACTTAAAATGTCGGAATCTTATATGAAAACTTCAATCCTTTTCATTAGGTCATAAAATCCCATTACAACACTCCATACTAGTTTAAAAAACGATACCAAGGAAAACAATCTAGAGAATAATATAAATATCTTATAATCTTAATACCCACGAGTAAAAATTAGTGACCGCAACCTCTACGAGTTGGACCAGAAACTAACTTACGACCCGACCACAAATTCACGTTTTTCTTCTCCTCCTCCTCGTTCCCGAACTCATCTCTTGAATCTTCTCCGACGACACTCATTCTCGTTGCTTTCTCTGCAACCTTGTTACAGCCGTGGTAACCAGCCATGGCAATGGAAGTTAAGTAAGCGACCAAGAGGAACACAACTTTAAGAAACTTCTTCTTCTTCATCTCCATGTTCTTAGTTTAGACTGTTCCTTAACTATAGTTTTCTTAACAGTTACTAATTCGTAGTCGTGGATATGTGCATGTATATAGATTTTGTGGCATTCTTTCTTACGTGAGTTAATCCATATTTAGTTATATAGTTCAAATAATTTACTTGACCAAGTGAGCTAGTGAAGAGTCTAGGAATAGTAAGTTTTAGGTTGCTATATATATATATTGTATTTAATGCTATATCAGAACTTCTAATATTAAGAAAAGAAAGTAAAATTCATTATTTCATGATATACGTCTGAGTCTGGTTGCAGTCTTGCATAACTTTAAACCATGTGTTTTAGGTAGACTATAATAGTCCCAACTGTTCATATTTAGATGGTGATTTCGTGAAACTGTTCGATCAATAGAAGAAATCATATACTAGATACGATAAGTAAAAAAATTATTTATCAGATACTCATGACTAAGTCGAGTAAAAAGTTCATATTTAGAGTATTTCCTTTTGAAAATACCATAAGATTGTATATGCGAATTCATTTTGTCTATTTCGTGAATTCTGAAAGATAAAACTTTATACTTGGACGAGTTTAATTAGTCATGCAAAACGAAAACGCAATTTCAACTGTCTGGATTGATCATCAAACATAAAGCACAAGGGTCAAGCTGATGAGCAACGAGATCCGTCCTCTACTCCGTCACTACTTTTCTTGTTCAAGAAAATCAATTAAAAAAAAAAAAAGTTGAAAGAAACTTGAATCACTGGTTAAGCAAAGTATTAACACGCGATGCTCTCTCAGCATCATATAAAAAGAACATTAATATTATTGAGCTTTGACCATTGCGCAATATATATATTGATCACCCTTTTAATCTCGTTGCTTGTGAGATTCATTGTCCCCAAGAAAAAATTGACATGTGATGTGTTACAAAACCTTAAGACAAGTGGCACGTACGGCTCCGAGTTTGAGTTTCGCGAGCTTCTTCTATTTAATTGTGTACATAAACAAATCATTCGAAGATTCCATGCATATATCTCAACTGAAGAATCAACACATAGGGGGCCCAAACCCAGTGAGTTCGGTGCCGTGTTAGATTATAGTAGTATTACATACCATTTGATTAGAGTATAGTATTGTCATAGCCTATCTTTTTTTTGAAACACTGTCATAGCCTATCTTAATATATATATTTTGGAGCTAATAATTAAAATAAATCATTCTCATAATTTATGTATAGTGATTCACCGCCAACGAACCAATGGTGACGAAGCTGATAAGGATAAGAAAGAAGCTCATAACAACATGTATCCCTGATAAGGATAGGACTTTTTGATAGAGGATAAATATTTGATACTTAACGCTATATATATTTGATTATTACATTTATGTTTTTGGTCCCTTCACCTTTTATTCTCCCACATATAATGAGTTTTCAATAAAAATAAATTTAGCTCATATAATACTATATATATACATGGATTGTTTCGATATCCCTTTGTTACAATTTTTTTTGTTCTCAAATTGATTACTATTATATATGTAGCCGTAACTTGCATGTGGACTGAGTAACTAAAATACCCAAATTCGAGTATGTATGCCTTCATTTGTCAATTAGGATTAAGGTCCTCTGCATAGTCCAACTACCTCTATTTGCTTTATTAATTAGCCTTGTAAATGTTTAGCATATACATCTAAATTATTAGAAAACCTGAAAAAGGTCAAAGGCGACAAACCTCCTTTCATAATTTTGTTCACGTTTTTTAAAAAATAGTAATTTTGTTTTGAAAAAAATAATAATGGGACCGTTGGTTGTCAAACGTCAAAGCATTGGGACCGTTACATAATTTTTTATTTTATAAATATTTTGTTTTTTGTATTCAAACTTTGGAATATACGAGCCCTATTGCTATTAATATGATAGTAACCCCCATATTTTCTTAACTTATTATTATTATCAAATGCTTAAACGATTCGTCCTAATATATAATCAAAGTTTCTAATTAAACTCGGACACACCTACCAAAAAATAATTAATAATTATCATTCGATTACTAAAATGTAAAACCTAATTAAATGTATAACTTTTTCTAGGGCCTAGCATTAGTCAGGTGCCAACTCATTTAATTTTCACAACTACTATACTTGTTATATTTTGTTACATTTATAGAACAATCTCTCTGTTAAAGCAAAGAATCAAGTGTTTTTACTCAAAAAGATAATGATTCCCAAAAGAGAGGGATTAAACGCAAATTACATTTACTAATAAGAGTTACTTACAATTTATAGTCTCATTATTAAATTATAGGTAAAATTATTAAAACTCCCCACTAATTAAAAAAAAGCGCACACGGCCGGTGGCCACACCCACACGCACACCACCACTCAACTCATAGCATTTTTTTCCCACGCGTCTTCCCACTGTTTATAATCTCCCACGCCTTCTCCTCCTCTCTACGATATGAATGGGTTCATTCTCACGCTCCTTTATTGCGAGTCTACTTATTATCCTAATATAGTAAGAGATTTGCCACACTTCTAATAATTCAGTTACGGTTTCTATTTTCATTTTTTTTTTACCTTACTACAGCTTTTTTTTTTATATATAGAAACAAATAAAATAGTTTCTATTAAATTATTTGCAAATATATAGAATTATGAACTGTTAATACTGCTTGTAGATTGTAAAAACATCTGTTCTTGCAAATTTTATATGTAGTTAATTTCTTACTATTATAATTCTGGATATTTTAATTTGCTTTTGACTTCTTTATTCTAGTCTTCAAGTTTACAGAAAAAAAAAATCTAAAGTTACCACATAAGCCACATATATTTCAGATATTAAAATGGCAAATAATTAAAGAGTATTTTTATTATCAAGAAATTCACATATAAAGAGGGATTAATTGGTCCCATAATTCAAAAAAAAACCCACGATTCTCAACCAATCGTCACTTCTCTCTCTCTCTCTCTCTCTCTCTTCGTGGATGTGAACACAAAAAGACAACAAGAGAAAGTTGAGAGTTTTCTTTTGGTTTTGGCTTGTCTGGATTCGAACCAAATCGTCCCTTGTTGTTGTTGCCAATATACTTCCTTCTCTCTTCGTCTTCCTTCTTTTGTCTGAAAAAACCAAAAAAATCTTAAAACTTTATTTCGATTTTTTTCCCATTGGAAAAGCGCAAGAAAACAAATCATCCATGAGTGTTTCCTCGTTTCCTTGACACATGTTTTTCGCATCATTCTTCATTATTATTAAAACGAAACTGACCAACCAAGCAAAGCTCTTCTTCCATTAACAATCCTCAACTTGCTTCATCCTCATTCGCTATGATTCCCCTCTTCTCCACTTTCCCAATTTCTTGAATTCTCTAAAAAACCCCTCAAAGACAAAGCCTTTTTCGATTTTTCTTCTTCTTCTTATAGATTAAATCTTCAGATGTCTAAGAACTCAAACGTTGAAGAAAACGGAGGACCAAAGCCCATCTGTGAAGCTTTGAAGAGGTTCAAAAGGTCGAGGCTTGTGTTCGAGCCTTCTTTAGGAGTGTTGGTTTTTTTCTTGCTTGGCTTGTGTTTGGTTTGCAGTTTTTTCTACTTTGACTACCGAAGCGTCGCTAAAAGCTATGGCCTTTCTGATAAATCAGACAGATTCGTTTGGCTCAAACTTGACAACAACAATAACAACAACAATATCACCAGCAACAGTAGTAGTAACAGTTCCAAGAGAGTTGGGTTTCTAGAAGAGAGTGGAGATGGGTGCGATGTGTTCGATGGAGATTGGGTCTGGGACGAGTCTTATCCGTTGTATCAATCCAAAGATTGCAGATTCCTCGATGAAGGGTTTAGGTGTAGTGACTTTGGAAGGTCTGATTTGTTCTATACTCACTGGCGATGGCAACCTAGACACTGTAATTTGCCCAGGTATCTTACAATTCGATGCTTCCTCTGTTCTTACATAGTTTCTGCCACTTGGTGCTCCTTATTTGCTTATCCGTGACTATGAATCAAATCGTTTCTCTTTGTTGTAATTCATGTTTGTTCTCCTACAAATTAGATTTTAAATAGTGAGAATTAAGAGCTTGTTAAGTTTCTGCCATTCAAATCAAATTATGTATGTTATCACAGGGGAGAGATTTTGGTACAGTAAATTAAAAGGTGTTTTTGGTTGTGGTTGAGATTCAAGAAATCTTTGGTCTATAGAGAAGAGAAGTCAGGGGTTCTCTAAGTTTTTGTTGCTTTCAGGTTTGATGTCGTTTTCTATGGTCTCTTCTCCAGTTGTCCGTAAGTTACGGCTTAGGATAAGCACAATCTCGTGAACTATGTCATCATATTTTGCTATTAAAGCCAGTGGCTTTTTTTGTTCTCTTCTCTTGATTTGATTTTTTAATATGGTCCCTTCTTCTTCTTCTTCCATTTCCCATTCACATCAAACAGCTTTTTCTTTGCCAATCAATGTGTGTGCTTCTTATTTTATAAAGGCTTTTGTATTATATGAACCCGTGAGTTTAATTGATTTTCTTAAAAGAAAGGATTGGTGTCCATATAACATGTATGCACAATAGTCTGTCCGTGTTCTTTATTAGTTTAGGATTTGAGTTCCCTAGATCAAGCAAAGTTTTTGACACTGGTTTCGTGAGTATGATGAATTGATGATTTAGAACTTTGTAGTATTCCCAATCAATCTGATTCGTTATGTGGTAGAGCTCATTACTCGTTTGCAGACATTTCTAATAGAGAAAGAGTCAATTATGAAAGAACTTATAGTCAGACTCTTACTCAGTTTGGTCTTTCAAGATAGTACTTAGCTGACTCTTTTTCTCTGTTTCGAATTATGTCAAAATGAATCAGATTTGATGCTAAACTGATGCTAGAGAAACTTCGGAACAAGCGGCTAGTGTTTGTTGGAGATTCGATAGGAAGAAACCAGTGGGAGTCTCTTCTTTGTCTACTGTCTTCTGCAGTCAAGAACGAGAGCTTGATTTATGAAATAAATGGAAGTCCCATCACAAAGCACAAAGGGTTCTTGGTGTTCAAATTTGAGGAGTACAATTGCACAGTGGAATACTACAGATCTCCATTTTTGGTTCCCCAAAGCAGACCACCGATTGGAACACCAGGGAAGGTTAAGACAACTTTGAAACTAGACACTATGGATTGGACTTCTAGCAAATGGAGAGATGCAGACATTCTAGTGCTCAATACTGGACATTGGTGGAACGACGGGAAAACTACTAGAACGTAAGTTCCATTGACCAAATCTTGAATGACCAATGACCAAATCTTGTTAGCTTCACTGGTCTGATTTTGTTCCAAATTTTGAATGTTGTTACTAACAGGGGATGCTACTTTCAAGAAGGAGAAAAAGTGAAACTAAAGATGAATGTAGATGATGCGTATAAGCGAGCCCTAAATACCGTTGTGAAATGGATACAAACCGAGGTCGACTCAAACAAAACTCAAGTCTTCTTTCGCACTTTCGCCCCTGTGCATTTCAGGTTTGTCCGGTATTGTTTTTAACTCCTTGATTATGATTCCATTGCGTGTAGTAGTCAGTTGCTTGGTTCGTTTTGGGTCTTATGATGTAGAATCTTCTACATTTTTAGTTACAATTCGTCTGTGTGATTGTATGAAACAGGGGAGGAGATTGGAAAACAGGAGGAACATGTCACATGGAGACACTGCCTGAGATTGGAGCCTCGTTGGTTTCTTCAGAGACAGGGGAACAGTTAAAGATCCTGGGAGATGTGTTGTCACGTTACTCAAACAGATCAGAGACTGTTAAAATGAAAGTGTTGAACATAACGGCAATGGCTGCTCAAAGAAAAGATGGTCACCCTTCGCTCTACTATCTCGGTTCACTTGGTCCTGCACCACTTCATCGCCAAGACTGTAGCCACTGGTGCCTTCCGGGTGTTCCTGACACGTGGAATGAGCTCTTCTATGCGTTGTTTATGAAACAAGAAGCTTCTTCTTCGCCTAGAAGAGTCGAAGAAGCGACTAGTACAGGAAATGTTACATTGTCATGACGCCAGTCAGAACAAGGCAACAAGCTCTCTTCTGTTCTGCACTAGGCATTTTTTTTTGAAGATGCTGAGCTCAAAGGTCAAAGGGTTTGAGATTTTTTTGATCAAGTGATTAGATTAATTGGGTGGTTACTTGTAATTAGGTGGATAATCTTTAATCTATGGTTGTAAAGATAAAACATCTCAAATTATTTTCCAAAGTTAATATACAATATCTATAGATTGAGAGACCAAAAACATAGTCATCTCTTAGTAGTTTTTTAATTTTATTTTTGCTTTATGGGAAAAGACAGAACATACAGTTAGATTTGGGCAATTATATGAAACAATAAATGTAACTTTTAAAAAAAACGAGAAGGAGAAATACACATTTTAGTTTTGGGCCCAAACCCAAGATGGACAATTACACATTTTGGTTTTGGGCCCAGACCCAAAAACTATGAATTTCACAAGGGATCCACCGAAAGAGGTAAAGTATTCGGATATTGCTTTTAGATATTTTTCTTTTGTTGAAGAAGTGGTGAACCGATTACAAGAACTAAAGAACAAATATGGATACTGTCTGGAACATGTTGATCTGTGTCTGGTAATCTTCTGAGATGTACGAGTTAACGACTGCACGTATTTGCCTGTCTGGCCACTTCCAAATGTTGAACAAAAGGTGTCTCTAATTCTACGTGCAGACATAGAAAGAAAAGGTGACGTGCATATGTGTTTGTATCTAAAAGCTAGATCAATACACTTTATTGAGATTGTTACAATTACATTTCGAAAGTTGCAATTTTTTACCCTTTTCTTTAGGACACCATAATAACTTAGTGTTACAGTAATTTACAAAGACGAAAATCGTATAGTATTTAATACTTAATTATAGTTTCAACGTAGGCGACATGCATACCACTTCAACCACACGATCTTCTACCAGCTCAGTACACCTTATACTGCACCAGAAAAGAGTGTTTGTTGTCTCATTAATGCACCAAAGTCTCTTTTTACGGATAAGTTTTAGATTTGTTATTCCGTATAATTATATATACTATTCATATAAAGCCCTTTTGAGAGTCATTATAATTCATAATAGACAAGTCGGTGGCATGAGGCTAAAAAAATCCCAAGTCGGTGATCGTGACGTGACATGAGCCTTACAAAGAAGCTCGTGAGAGATTCTGTGATCGTAGTTTCCTCTCAGTGATTCTCTTCTCAAATACTTTGCTCCTTTTTTAATTGGTGACTTGGGAATCCACGGAGTAAACTTATAGATCATATAAACTTATTTCACTAGCTAGGATCTAAGCGTTTTGGTTTACTTGGGTAAAATGGATCATCAGTTTAGGTTTGATCGGGCCTTATCCCTGGGAGAAGTTTTGCAAGTTGCAAGTGTACGAGTAGGGTCGGGTATAGAGTAGCTTATCTTTACAAAACCTTGTGGTCTTCTATTATCTGCCCTTTTAAATATTTCTGTGGGTGTACGTAAATGATGAAATCACATATCCAAATTCGGATAAGTTTCTCTTCATTGTATTATTTATACACGTTATATATACTTACAACAATTTTCAGTAAGTAACCATATTCACTTGTTAATTGATGTCATTTATCAATAAACAAGCATGTTCTCACTTTAATGATTTAGATGGCGACTCTAAATTTTAAGAGATTAGTCTATATTTTAAAATCCAAATCAGTGAAGGGAACTATTGAAAATGTTTTAAAAGTATATATTATATTGTGTGAGGGAATAATAGTGTGTGTAATATTATAGATCAATGGAGAACAGACTCATAAGATCTTGACTTGGGAGTACGTAGTCGCACTTGCACAAAAGAGAGTATATATCTACAAAACTCCAACCAAACAAAATCTTGGAGATAGATTCTTCTTTGTTTTCTTCTTTCTCCCTATCTTTAAGAATCCATATTCCTAGCTAATTATGTCCATTTCCTCAAATGTCCACTTCAAAATGCGGCTCACCGGTGAATGTCCGCAATACTAAATTTCGTTACTTAAACCAACTACATCGATTCAATTCACCAACTACTCAAAGCATCACATTATGGTGTACTCTATTCCGTATAACAACAATATTTTCTTAGAGTCATTCAAATTATGTAGGTTTTTATATCAACAAAAAATAAGAATCGAATCATATTGCCACAACCGACATGTTCAGATTAGGTCAATGATACTCGATCGTTGAAGCGAGGTTGAACATATATTGTCTTCACGAGACTAGCTGTATAACAACGAACAATCAACGTATTAATCCTTGAAAAGCCAAATAAAGGCCGTTCCGACTTTATTCTCCTAACATTCATGTTGAATGTCGATAAATAGTAAAAAAACATATCAAATGTGACCCCACGATTCCATATAGTTTGGTATATGCATATATAGGTCTCACGTCGTGGACATGTGCTCCGTTTTTTTTTTCATTTGCAAATGACTGCAAAAAAAGGAAATTATATCGCCGCTATTATAAAAATTAAAACTAATATGTACCATGCATTATTGTCTGATGGTATCATAATTTTCGAAACAAAATGATTTAGTGAAAATTTTGAAAATGATGGTATCAGTCATATATGTATGTTTATATTATTATTTATTAATTAACGTCCATATAATATACCCTTTTTAAGATTTTCTGATGGTATATATTGACTATAAGAAAGTCATTTTGGATAAGGTAGTTAGGCATTCAATCTTTAGTGGAGATTATTGAAAGTAAGAAATTTGAGCTATACAAGGAAACGAATTTTGTTTTAGGAAGAGATCATGAGAGTGAGAGAGGGATGGGTTTTTGTGGATGAGATATATATACTAAAGTTATATTTATGTGGAATGAAGAAAATATAAATTGAGATAGATATGGGTGTTTTGTTCTTGTTGTGAGTTGTGAGCTTTTGATTTAATATCTTTCTTTACAGGATTTGCAAGTAGTAGCTACAAACATCATTACACAAAAAACCTTCCCTTCGTGATCCATTTGTGTGTAGGGACTTACTTTTGCCAGATTAGATTACATTTTCCTCAATCTTTACTTTGTCCCCACTCTCCCACATGCACCTCTCTCTCTCTCTCTCTCTCTGCCTATTTATGCCACTCTTTGAACATTCTTCCCCTCACAACACCACTTTAGACCATTTTAAAAAAAATACCTCTTTCAACAGACAACAAAAGGCTCATTAAGAGACTGACTAGTTGAAGCATATATACAGATATGGCCATGGAAGTGGCTATGGAGCTTGAACTTGATGATGATGTATTCTTTGCAGACATAAGCAAGCAACTCAATCTCTTAATCACAGATGAAGATGAACAAAACCCCATATCACTTTCCTCTTCTGTCTCTTTCCAGGTTTGTCCAAAATTTTAACTCTTCTCTCTTTCTGTCTCTCTCCTCTATTTACTCTCTCGATTAGTGAGTAACTGATGAGATATTGATCTTTAAAACCAAACAGGGTTTGTTCAGAGGGAACTACCAAACATCAGGAACAACACCATATATGATGTACAATGAGCAGATCAATTACAACGTTAACATAAGAGAGAGCAAAGGAACAGGAGTGTTCATCCCAAGAAGTTGTCAGCCAAGAAGGAAACACAACCATCCTCATCATCAGAAGAAGCAAGGGAGATTGGGTACCTTCAACCACAAGCAACAGTATCCTCATCATGGCAGCAATCCCACAAATATCAAAAACAACAACCAAGAAAGCATCACCACCTTTCATCATGCATCTACTAACCAAAGAAGAACCTACAGAGATGCAGCATCTCTCTTCACTTAGTCAATCAAGATTCGAAGACATGGATTTGTGTCCTCATTAATTCATATATATATATATATATATATAAGAAACTGATTATTGATATTTTGTAAAATCAGCAAATAATAAGAATGAAAAGGAGGAAATCATCAAATCTAAAGGGATTTGGTGTGACTTATTCAACAACCGACAGAGATTAATATATATGTTCAGTACTCTCTTATCATAACATAACAATCTCTAATCATTTTAAATTAGATGACAGCAATTGCCAATCGATAAAGGAGTAAACTTAAACTGGGGATCATGACAAGTCCCAAGTGAGATTGGAAAATCTTTACATGTCAGGTCTCGAACCAATCGATCTCTTTGGGACCTCAAACTTACAGAGAGTTACAGTTATGTTGGCAAACAATGTTTGAATGAATGAAAAGACAAAAGTCAGAGATCTGAAGAGGAAAAAGACTGTCACAGACTCACACCCACATGCCTTGATGCCTACATGCCCATCACTCTCTCTCTCTTTTTTTCCCATTCAATCATTTTACATTTTACTATATTTAATTTGCTGTTTTTTTTAGTAAACAAACATGGAAACCTATGTATATTCCTTTCATTTCATCCTTTTTAATGAGAATAAATTACATCAAAATTAGACATTTAGTATATGGTGCAGAGCTCTATGTTTTCTGTCAATTAGCTGTATTTTCTTTGATTAGTTTTAAATGTCTAATACGATTTATCACCCCATATGTGAAAAGTATTAACTCAAATCCTTACAAGTTGCACAGTTTGAACACATCTTTCTTTGAAGTCTATTGTCTAACACACCTAATCACCTAACACATATACTCTTGTGAATTGTTTTAGAAAAAAAAAGAAGTTAAAAAAATTTCACAAACGTATGTATAATTTTCTTTGTAATTCTTTCATAAAATGTCTAGTATTGCTCTAAATTTCCTTACAACATATAGAGTGATTAGCGTCTTGGTTGTTTTATTTGATTATATCATCATAAAAACCAATTTGTGGAAAATCAATGAAAATTTTGTTAAACAAAACTAATCCTACCAGCTAGAAATTTCAAACCGCCGGTTTAAATACAAACCTTAAACCAAATTATTGGTTGAGGTGGTTTTGTGTCGTATTTGTATTTTTTTTTTGTTTTCTCCAATGAACGGATAAGGTGACGGAGCTTCAGATCGCCGAGAGCTTCTTCAGGAGACCCATGGCGGCGATGGATTCTCTCTTCCTTCTCTTCCTCATTCCTCTCATTCCACTCTCGCTTCTCGCTATCTTAGCTCTAATCGTACGTCCTCGCCCCATTAAGATCCCTATCAAGTCCCGTCACGTCTTCGTCACCGGTGGATCTAGTGGCATTGGTCTTGCTCTCGCCCAGCGCGCTGCTTCAGAGGGCGCTCGCGTCTCAATCCTCGCCAGATCCGCCGAGAAGCTCGAGGAGGCTAAGAAATTGATCCAGCTCGCTACTGGAGTTGAAGTCGCCACGTTCTCTGCCGACGTTCGCGATTACGACGCTGTGTCGAAGGCGATTGACGAATCGGGGCCGATTGATGTGTTGGTTGTAAATCAAGGTGTGTTTGTCGCGAAGGAGCTGGTGAATCATAGTCCAGAGGATGTCAAGTTCACGATTGACGTGAATCTTGTTGGGAGCTTCAATGTGATTAAGGCCGCTTTGCCTGCAATGAAAGCAAGGAAAGATCGTGGACCTGCCTCTATCAGTCTCGTCTCTTCTCAAGCTGGCCAGGTTCGTTTCTCAAATTTCCCACCTTTAGGGAGTTCAAGTTTCTTCTGGTAATGTAGTTAATTGGAAGCTGAGGATCTGGATAAAGTTGAGAGTAAGACCTTCACAAAATTGGATTTGCTTAATCAATTCCTTGAATTAACTTTGCAATCATGCGAACTCATGTCACACAGTTTCACAGATAGCATGATGAAGGATGTTTTATAAATTTTCAGGTGGGTATCTATGGTTATGCTGCATATTCAGCAACCAAGTTTGGTCTACAGGGTTTAGCGCAAGCACTGCAACAAGAAGTTATTGCTGATGACGTTCATGTCACTCTTATATTTCCTCCTGATACTGATACACCAGGATTTGAAGAAGGTAAACACTATACAGAAGCTTTTTTTTTAGATTCATTATGGATGCAGAGTAGATATTTTAACGACAACACGTGATGGAAGCTAGGATTAGGTACTGCTACTAAATACTAAGGCAATTAAATGCATATAAGAGTTGGAGATAGATTACCATATGGTTGGGAGAAGAGTAGACATAAACTATTATTATTGACCTAGTTAGATCAAAGCTGTGCCTTTACCTTGTCTGAATAATTGTAGACTTTATCAAACAAGTAGTATTCCATTTTCTTCTTTCTTTCCGAAATTGCCAGCTAGGAGATACTGGTAGAGTGATGCGTTAAGTACTGGGTACTGACTATGATAATGTTTAGAATGAAGTCTCTGCGTAACTGTGTACTACGGTTTGTGTGATATGTTTTAGAAGATATTAAATGGATGTTGTAATCTTTGTAAAAGACTTATTTCTCTCTCTCTCTGAAAATGAAGTGAAAACACTATGAACTGATGTTCTGAGTTCCTTGGTTCATATTATGTAGTTGCAGATCATGATATGAGTGTATTGATTTTCCTTATGTGCTCTCTCAGAACAGAAGAGCAGACCTGAAGTCACTGCCATAATAGCTGCATCCTCTGGTTCAATGAAAACAGAAGAAGTAGCCAGAAAAGCTATGGAAGGCATAAAAGCAGGAAAGTTCACTGTCTCATGCAACTTTGAGGGATTCTTATTGTCTCTTGCGACAACCGGCATGTCCCCTCAAAGATCATGTTGGCTAGCTTTTCTTGAAGTTATAACCGCCGGGCCAATAAGATTAGTCGCTCTCTTCTTTCAATGGGATTGGTATAAAGCCATTGAAAAATGGAGCAAAACCAAAACCAAATAGTAAGTCGCTAATGCCATCAAGTTGTTCATTTTTTCATGGAACAGAATTTCCTAGACTGCTCTATGGCTATTCTAATTTTGCTTCTTTTTTGTAATTCAGAGAGTCCAACGAGTTGTCGATGGGTACTTAAAACCTTCTTCTCAGATTGGAGTCTCTGAGTCAACTACCACGCCAGCTAGTTGCTTGTACCAATTCAGAATATCGACAATGCATAGTTTTTTAGTAACTCTTCAACAATCATGCAAGCCTGCGAACAAGCTCTGTTTTTCTTTTTCTGTAGAGAAAACAAGGAACTCATTTGAATGTAAGTTTTACTTGCTGAAGAAGAGAACGTTGGGTTTTGAAGTAAAGATAAGTTACCTTTATAGCTTCACACTCTTAGTCATTTACCTACCATATGGCATTTGGAGATTCCTTTATCACAACTTCACACTCTCACTCATTTTGTCTCCTTTAATTTCCTTCTAAAAGCTAAAACCTATGCTTAAAATCCACTTTTAAATCTAGAAAAACCTCAAAATTTTGGATTAGAAACCAAAAAATTCATAACAACAACTAGAATTCTATTACCGATCTCTTATTATATAGGTGAACTAGTTGTTGAGAAATTAAATATGTATAGTATAAGTCGAAGTGTGGCGTAAATGGAAGTGCGGTTGAGAATCATTAAGAAACGTGTACTATTAGAGTTTTTACCAAATATAGATCTAGATGTTAATTTTTGGGCCCTTTTATATGTTGGCATGAAATTTGAACATGATTTGTGGGTTACGGGCGTATTGTTGTATTTTTAATTATTTACATTATTTCTTTATATATTGTCATAATTTATTATTTTTGTTTTACGTTTTCCTTTTTTGGATTTGTCGTACTTTATATCTCGTAATAATCATTTATATACTATTATATATTTTTCTGATTTTATGTTTTATATATTTTTTTGTTTTTTCATATGGAACAGTTTTTAAATTTAACATATTACTATAATTTACTTTATATTTAGTTTATTTCATTTAATAATTTTTTAAATTTTAATTTTCAATTTTATGAAATATAGTTAAATTTTATTTTGTTTATTAGTTTAACATATGTGTTGTATTGGAAAAAAATAGTTAAATTCATATTGAAAACCTTTAAAGAAATATTATTTTTATTTTTACCTTTTTATATGTTTATAAAAAATGAGAATTCACGTTTCGGTCCGACCTATCTTATTTATGTTAGAAATTTTTTTGAGACATAAATTAGATAGATTTATATTCTCAATATTTCTTACTTTTTGTTCTATTCCCGTTAAATCCCATTATATTTAGGTTTACATTGGGTAAATATAATCATATATATATTTTAAACACTCACTAAAAACTATAATCTATTATTTATATATTTGTTAGTATAATCGAAAATTAGTAAGTTTTTTTAACTTTTAATCAATTATCTTTTTTAGTTTATAATGTATAATACAAAAAAAAAGACCTTTCATATTCATTTTTGAAAAAATTATTTACATAGGTTTAAATATTAAAATTAAATGATAAAATGGTATAATTAATTTTAAAAATTAAATAATAAAATGAGATGGATGATGATGTGTCTTAAGGAGAAGAGAGAAAAAGCTAACTTTATATATATAGATGCTTTGAGGTATAGTTTTTTGTTTTAGTCGATGTGGGAATTAACGCTCTCTTATTTTTAGTGGGCCAAAACTTTCTCATTTGCTTGGGCCAAATCACAACTGCGACCGCCACTCGCGAATATTGTAATCGAACCTCACTAAACAACGTGCAGTTTGATTCGACTGTTACAAAACGGCAAGGAGTTTTCTTCGGAAAGGTCCATGACCATTGAGAAGTGCCTGCCATAAACAACACACTTGAGTCTTCAGGAAATTGTCTGACTCGTTCTTGTTTTTGGCGATGGCAATGTCTATTCTACAGCTAAGAAATGTATCGGCTTTAAGATCGGCCGCAAATAAAGCCCGGATCGGAGTTTCCTCGAGGGGTTTCTCAAAGCTCGCGGAGGGCACTGACATAACCTCGGCGGCGGCTGGTGTTTCTCTCCAGAAAGCTCGCAGCTGGGACGAAGGCGTTTCCTCCAAATTCTCCACCACACCATTGTCAGATATCTTCAAGGTTCGAAACTTTCTTTTCTGACAATTTCGATTCAGATTGGAATTTTAAATTCCTGACATAACGTTTGTGTGTGTATTGGTTACAGGGGAAGAAAGTCGTCATCTTTGGACTCCCTGTAAGAGAAAAATTCTGTCTTTTCATATTCCATTTATGTCTTGATCACGTTTCTGAGTTACTGATGTTGTGCTGGAATATTCGTTTTCTGTGGTTAAGGGGGCTTACACGGGAGTTTGTTCACAGCAGCATGTCCCTAGCTACAAGAGCCACATTGATAAGTTTAAATCCAAAGGCATTGATTCTGTCATATGTGTATCTGTTAATGATCCCTATGCTATCAATGGTTGGGCAGAGAAGCTTGGTGCCAAAGATGCAGTAAGTTCATCGATTCCTAGCTTTGTTTTTCCGACATTAGCCTGATCCAGTGTTTAGTGTCTGCTGGTTTGATTCTTTGCCTTCAGAAAACAGGATTTTTCAACACAACATATATATTATTCGGTTCCTGGGTTGGTTGTCTAAGAGTTTTGAGTCGTGAAGATGGATTGTTTTGGAATCTCCTTTTAGTATGTAGCTCTTGTTGACGTCCTGATAGTAATCTACCTCTTATAAATAAGACTATATAGTATTCCATGATTTCACACTGTTGTCTATGGTCTCAAGATTACATTCACATCAATACAGCTGATATAAAGATATGATGATTCTATATTTAGAAGAACTTCCCTCATGAGAAATTTCATAATACTTGATATGGATAGTGTTACTTGCCAGCAAAAATGACTTAATGTGACGTTGTCATACCAGATTGAGTTTTATGGGGATTTTGATGGGAAGTTCCACAAAAGCTTGGGGCTAGACAAGGATCTCTCTGCCGCATTGCTCGGGCCTCGGTCTGAGAGGTAAAACCACTGCAAAGTCCAATTTATTTGTATCTTTGAACCATTGATGTAACAAATTGGTTGGCCTTGTGATGTCCATGTTCAGATGGTCGGCTTATGTAGAAGACGGTAAAGTTAAGGCGGTGAACGTCGAAGAAGCACCATCTGACTTTAAGGTTTCGGGGGCAGAAGTCATCTTAGGACAGATCTAAGAAGTAATATCCAGAGTTGTTGTTTCTTCTGAGTTCCGTTTCTTCCTAGTTGCAACTGAAAATAAGTTTGATCCGAACATGTCTCAAGGATCACACCCAAGTAACAGCTTCAGTTTATTTTTATTTTTTCCACATTTTCGGTTTAATAAAAATTATGCCTTCTCGTCATTTCTCACCAAAATGTAAATCTGGATTATATAATAAAGTATAGACCAGTACGATCTCATCAAAATTTTGAGTGAAAGCTAAGGACAATGTAAATGGCTGGGGCCTGCGGGATATGACTTTTCTTATCACTGTCTGAAGGAGATACGTTAGTCCATTGGCAAATCCACAACCAAAACTTCTAATAATATGTTCTGTCAGAAACCATTGGCAAATCCGTAACCTACTCTAAATCAAGAAACTGAAGAGAAACAATATAATGTTTATCAAGTTAGATAGTATCCATACGAAGATACCAACGAAAATAAACCCCAACGCATATAAATATGGAGTGATGGAAACACCAAACTTCACACGTTCACGGTTGGGGTACAATCACTACCCGATAACTCTTTGGACCCAGAGGTAGCTTCGACGGGTTCATCCGAGCAGCATAATAATTGAGTAGCACACGACAACATTCCAATAACACTGCTTATCTGACGTCCCATCAAAGCAAACAACAATGTTTACAAGTCAAAACATTTTACCAATGAAACCCATAAATTAAGGTATTCAAGGATAAATAAAAATACTTACAAGGACGTGGATATCAAGTCTATAAATCAAAGAATAAGCAGTCCAAATTCCAGCGTTGATGAAACTAACTAGCGACAGCCAAACGGGTATGTACTGGATCATGCATTGCACCCATAGAATGATTAATCAAAACCCATAACTAACTCTTTTGTCCATCAAGTAATAATAGAGAGATAGAGACAAAGCATACCACGGCCAGCATCGTAACATCTATAATTGTGGTGAAAGAGTTGCAAAGAACACCAACGAATGTATGTCGAGTTGATAAAGTTTTAACTACAGCAAGAGAAATCGTATAGAAAACTGCCACGAAAGTAAGCCCAGACACAAGACAAGTATAAGTGTCCCGCCTCTGCACATCCACATAAACATCATATATATATACAATACGATATGAGAGATTTAAACATCAATAAAGATGGAGTGGAACATACACGTGGTATGTTGCCGCAGTAGATCAAAAAGCTGACCAGGTAGATAACTTCGATTACAAGACCGATGCCATTACTAGTGGCGATGAGGATGCCATGCTTGTGAATAAGAGGCAGACCATACAAAACCCACAAACTATATTTCAACAAAAACCATACATGACGAAAAGGTACATAGTCCTCCACTGATTTCGTCTTGTATATTTGTATAAACCTTGGCCTGTGTATACAAAAATGTTGATTACTCTAGCTATAATAATCTTTAGCTAAAATACGTACATATGAGATTATCTTAGTGACAAATTAGCTAGAGAAAGAAATATAATTCATAATTATAAAACGTTCCTAATACAAAAGATATAAGAACTAACATGCATGGATACATATATCTACACAAACGATATTGTAAAGAGAAAATGAAGAACAAAAGTAATTACATTTTCGAGAGGGAGATCAAAGAGGAAACAACAGTCCCTGCACCAGGCCAGAGCCAAAAACAATTATCAGCAACATAGCTATACATGTCGGTATATATTGTCCGACTTGCATGTACTAATTAAAACATAGCTTTATATGTCGGTATCCACTGAGATAGTAGTAATAGAAGAATCTCCAACCATCTAGGTATATTTTTGTTGTAAACGAGAGAGAAGTAGTAGATCGTACCAATAATTCCCATGATAAAACGAACTTCTTCAGCGTTAGCCATTGTGAATTGAATTCGACGGCGAGATTGGTGAAGTAAACGAATAGCAAAACAAAGTTAATTATAATTTATACATACATATTATATTTATTTATTTTATTTGATAAGATGTGAATATTACTTAAGGGAATTGAATTTTATCTAAACCCTTATAGAATTTAAAAAAAAAATGAAGGTTAATTTGGCCTACGCAAAGAGAAATAAGAAACTGTGCTTCTTTACTCCATCGAGCAGCTGACGGATGCAAACAGAAGTGTTAGAATTAAAACTATCCAATCTGATACGTTTTACTTGGTTAATGAAAATCGTATTATCATCTTGATCTAGTTAAAGCACTAATCATGCATCAGATAATTGCACTCTACATATAAAAAAGGTGATAAAAATTGGCAATATTACTTGGTGACCAAAGAAAAAAAAAAAAATTGGCAATATTACTTTAGAAAATTCTTGATTGGGCTTTAATCCATTATGAATTAGTAATTTAGGGCCCAACGATAGGAGAGGAGTGTTTCACCCTAAACCCCTCTGTCTCGTTGGTGACTCATCTCCGTCTCTCACTGCACCATCAACCCAGAGCCGGCGAAGCTTGCCGTTCGCGCCGCCGGAGGTAAGCCGTTTCCTTCTTTTTATCCGGTTTAGGTAGATGATTCATGGATCTCATTGTTTGATTTCGGAACTGTGATAACTCTCGAACTTGCTAGGTTTTGTTTTCAAATCTTCGGGATTTGTTTCTCTGTTATCGGAATGGTTCGATGATTTGTTTAAGGTTGCAAGTACTTATCCTCTAGACTACCGAATCTGATATGACTGTGTAAATCGAACTATTTATGGAGCTCGATAGTGCCATTGACGCTGATATCGATCTTATGAATCTCTTAAATCATCTTTTCTAGTTCACCATTTATTTTCCACTGAACTTGTGAAATAATGCATTTAATCTGAAAAGAAGAAAACTTTTGAATCTAAACTGTTACGATACAAATGTGTCCTTGAGATTGCTATGTAGTTAAGCACTAATTCCATCAGATAGTTTCTGTAGATTGGCAGAAACTAGACTGCTGTTTTGATCTCTTTGCTCTGAGAGATTGCATCAATTAGTTATTCGCAATCTAAAGTTATCGTCTTTTTGTTACGCAGGAGAGTTTACTGTTGCTTTCCTGTGAAGATTTTGAGTCAAAGAACATTTCGTGTTTGGTCACATGAAATGATCTTTGGTTGATAGTTTGTGTGGTAGCAGAGGAATCTATATAGTCATGAAGCTTATTTCACTTGTCAGAAATTTTCGTTCTCGCCAATGTCAACCAAAGGCAACCTGGTCTGTGCAAGTGCGTTTCTTGCAACAAGACTCTGTCTCGAAAACTAAACCCAAGAAATACAAATACCCATCAGTTTATGATCCTTATGGTCCTAGACCCCAGCCTTCAAACAAAATCGTGGAGCTAGCTGAGCGTATAGCTGCATTATCTCCAGAAGAACGGCAACAAATTGGTCCTGCACTCAATGAACACCTGAGGCTTCCGAAACAACAGATGATTTCATCGGAAGGCTTGAGTCTTGGAGCAAAACAAGATGCCGGAGCCGGGAAAGCAGAGGAGAAGAAGGAGAAGACGACTTTTGATGTGAAGCTGGAGAAGTTTAATGCATCTGATAAGATCAAAGTGATAAAAGAAGTGAGAACATTCACGAGTTTGGGTCTAAAGGAGGCAAAAGAGCTTGTCGAGAAAGTCCCGGCTGTTCTTAAGCTAGGAGTGACAAAGGAAGAAGCTAATGAAATCATAGCGAAGATCAAAGCTGTAGGTGGAGTTGCAGTTATGGAGTAAGTGACTTTTGACACTTCAATTGTGTCTGTTTGATTTGCTTTTTGGTATTGTGATCACATCTTGGTACGTACGGTAGATGTTATGTAATAACAAATCAATTAGTCATTGAGTCTTCAAAAACTTCACTCAGTTTCCAATTCCATCTTTGTATTTTGCAAGTGACTTTCTATAAGCTGCGGCCAATTTTTTTTTACTTTCTTGCAGTAGATTTGATTCCCTCACGTTTTGCTTTTGTGGATGGATTTCGAAAACAAACTTAGAATTTGGTTTACTTTTCTAAATCTGATCACATTGGTTTATCCAAATTGAAGATCTCTATTCTCTAACATGAAACTTGTTCTAGTCCCGTCTTGTCGCTACAATTATTCTAGTTTGGTCCTATCCTTTATATTAGAAACGATGCCGTATAGTCTAGGGATGAGAGGGGGACCAAGGGAATTAGTTAATAATGCCTTAAATGGTCGGCACAGCGTCAAAATCGAGCTGACAAGAAAAGCAGAACAGAATCAAACTACTCTTAAGAGTAAAAGCAAAGTAACAATTTCTCTCACTCTCCTTTATCAATTGACAATTAAAATATAAGCCAATCGCCAAAATATCACTAGAGAAACTCTTGGACCTGTTTCAATGGCGATTCACAAGCTTCCACTTCTTCTCTTTCTCTCCATCCTCCTCTTCCTCAATCGCCCTGTTCTTAGCGACACCGGTAACTTCCTCTCTTCTTTCTCTTATAGTTGAAGTAAATCTACGTTCTTTTTATATCTCTTGATGATATTGTTTGGTTAGGGTCTTTAGATCTGGTCTGAAATCTATTAGTATCTGTTCACTTCATTTAGAAGTCCTTGCATAGATCTCAATCATGAAGAAGTTTAGAACTTGTTTACAAAAGGGTAATACTTTCTCAAGTGTATTAATCTGCTTCCCCAAAACAAAAACAAAACAAAGTGTATTTTACTTTAGCTTGTGACTATGGTGCTGCAAGTGCAAAGTATACAGACTTAACCAGAGTTTTTTTTCTTGGGGTTGCAAATGAAGAGGACATTCTTCTCACAGGCATCAACAGCTACAGAGCAACACAGAATCTTACAAACTTAAGCAAGAACGAAAACGCAGAGTGTCTAGCCGACGAAATCGCAGACCAGTTCAAGAACAAACCCTGCACCAACGACACTGGCTCAGCCACAGTACCTGGAACCGAGCCACAGTTCCCGAACTACCCTCAGATGCTAGCCAAATGCCACTTGAACGTCTCTGACACAAGAGACGGCATGATTATGCCCGCATGTGTTCCTCGTTTAGAACCAAACCTCGTCCTCACAAACTTCACCAAGTCGCAATACTCAATGGGTTTGAACGATTCCAAGTATACAGGGATTGGTATCGGCAAAGAAAATGATTGGATCGTTGTGGTTCTCTCTACCAGTACACCTGAAGGAAGCTATTCTACAGATACATCTACAGGACATGATGATGATTCTAATGGCTTCACTGTTAGTGTTGGTCTCGTTAATTATTTGCTAGTTTTCTTCTTTTCCTTTGGTTTCTTCCTCTATTGAGATTTTTACATGTTTTGATATGCTTTTATGTCTCAAACTTCTGTTAGACTTTTTCCTTATAGACTATCAAGAATAAATTCTGTTAAAAGATTTTCTCTTACGATAGATAATTGTTTTTAAAGTTATGTCTAATATTTCAAGTGTAACAGAAAAATTAACAAGTCCTACATATATACTAAGAAAATTACAAATTTTTAATTGGTTGCATTGTGGAATGGGATATTTAAAAGGAATTCCTTGACAGTTGACACTAATATGGCATGTGTCTGTGATGTTATAATATTGTCGGTGAGTTTATTATTTAGCTATCTGGAAGAAGACAACGACCGACATATAATATGGGTATTTGACACGTGCGAACTTTACCTAAAGGGCCCAATAAAAAGGCCCATTAAGGGTTTTTGTGAAGGGTTTCAATGGGAAAAGAAAACAGTCTCAGCCTTGAATTTTGAAAAACAGATCGAGTTTCTCTTTCCCTCCTCCTCGAACTTTCCTAAAATCCACACACATCACGAAGAAGAAGAAGAAGAAGAAGCCATGGCTAATGTTCACTGATATTTTGTACACATCCACCGCCGGCTCACCAAAATAATGCAGGATATTCTCGGATCGGTTCGCCGATCCTTGGTTTTCCGGTCTTCTTTAGCCGGAGACGATGGTACTAGCGGCGGAGGTCTTAGCGGATTCGTTGGGAAGATTAACTCCAGTATCCGTAGCTCTCGTATCGGCCTTTTCACCAAACCGCCTCCTGGACTTCCTGCTCCTAGAAAGGAAGAAGCGCCGTCGATTCGGTGGAGGAAAGGGGAATTAATCGGTTGCGGTGCTTTTGGGAGGGTTTACATGGGAATGAACCTCGATTCCGGCGAGCTTCTTGCAATTAAACAGGTCGATTTGATAATTCTTAGTTCTAATTACCTTCAATTGCTATTGATTTTATGATTTGTTCTGTTGATTCGCGATTGTTTTTGAAATATAGGTTTTAATCGCTCCAAGCAGTGCTTCAAAGGAGAAGACTCAGGTGGGTTACGGATCAATCATTTAAATTTTCCGATTTTATTAATATTGGCTCCCAGCTTGGTAACAATTTTTGTTGATTATTTCCTAGGATCACATCCGAGAGCTTGAGGAAGAAGTACACCTTCTTAAGAACCTTTCACATCCAAACATTGTCGTGAGTTGGCCAATCCTTTTAGTTATTTTTACATAGATTTAACTTTTGTGTCTGCTTCACATGCATTCTCACTATTTATCTTGATTTTTGCAGAGATACTTGGGTACTGTAAGAGAGAGCGATTCCTTGAATATTTTGATGGAATTTGTTCCCGGTGGATCAATATCATCTTTGTTGGAAAAGTTTGGATCTTTTCCCGAGCCAGTAAGTTCTGACTATACCTGAACTTTGCTAAATCTTGTTGTGTTTGAGGAATGTTGTGTTGAACCATTCTGTATAGGTAATTATAATGTACACTAAGCAAATTTTGCTTGGTCTGGAGTATCTTCACAAGAATGGGATCATGCACAGAGATATTAAGGTACTTTCCCTCTTTCCAACATGTGAATGTGTCTGTTGTTGATTAAATTTCCTCTAAAACTCTTGTCACATTCTCCTAGGGGGCGAATATTTTGGTCGATAACAAAGGATGCATCAGACTCGCAGATTTTGGTGCTTCCAAGAAAGTTGTAGAGCTAGTATGATTGCACTTCTCTTTCTCTTTAATTATATTTCAATATGTTGCCTCTTCACTTCAGTACTCAAAAACTTGTAATTGTTATGCTTCTAGGCTACTGTAAATGGTGCCAAATCTATGAAGGGGACGCCGTATTGGATGGCTCCTGAAGTCATTCTTCAGACTGGTCATAGCTTGTAAGTTTTCCCTAATACCCTACTAGTTATCTAGCTATCATCTTCTCCCCATCTCCTACTTGATTATACTTGTTCTGGGTTTGTTGGAATGGGTTCTCATATATATTTCCCTGTGTAGCTCTGCTGATATATGGAGTGTTGGGTGCACTGTGATTGAGATGGCTACGGGGAAGCCTCCCTGGAGCGAGCAGTATCAGCAGCAGGTAAACAGATCCACTGGGTGAAGGGCACTTTCCAATATTGTTGATGCATATGACACTGCTTTTTACTTTTGAAAACTAAGAACTAAAAATTTTTGCTTTCAGTTTGCCGCTGTCCTTCATATTGGTAGAACAAAAGCCCATCCTCCAATTCCAGAAGATCTCTCACCAGAGGCTAAAGACTTTCTATTGAAATGCTTACACAAGTAAGTCATAAGTTTGTTATCCCAGTGTGTTTCTGTCTTTTATCTAGAGATCGCTCCTTTACAGACCAATGTCCACCTTTCTATTTCAAAAAGAGCATCTAAATCTGTTGTCTTATTGATATGAAAATTATACTTGCAGAGAACCAAGCTTGAGACTCTCTGCATCCGAATTGCTTAAGGTGTTCTGAATCTTATTTCTTCTTCATTTCTCACAATTGTGAAAGGGTCCTTACTTTCAAGGCGCAACACCAAGTTATTAATGTTGCTTATAGTGCTGACAGCTGCTTAACATTTGCAGCACCCATTTGTCACTGGAGAGCGCCAGGAGTCTTATCCGGCTTACCGTAATTCTCTTACGGTTAGTACATTATGCAGTAAACTTTGTTCTTGTACTTCAACCTTCTGACCTCCTCCTTAATATATCAGGAATATGGAACCCCAATAGCCACACAAGGAATGAATGTTAGGAGTTCGTAAGTTTATCATAGCTTTAGTTTAAATGTTAAGATGATCCTTGATTTTGATCTCTGGATTCTTATTTTACTTCCCCTATTGTTTCAGAATTAACTCGTTGATCCGGAGGTCAACCTGTTCAGGCCTGAAGGATGTCTGTGAACTGGGAAGCTTGAGGAGTTCCATTATACACCCACAGATATCAAATAACTCAAGATATTGTTGGGGAGATGGAGACTCTGATGACCTTTGTCAGACCGACATGGATGATCTCTGCAACATTGAATCAGTCAGAAATAATATTTTGTCACAATCCACTGATTTAAACAAGGTAATATCTATCCTTCCGATTTTCAAACATGTCTGTTGGTTGCAGTTATACTGACAGTGGAAAGAAACTTTTTGACTTTCAACAGAGTTTTAATCCCATGAGTGATTCCACGGATAACTGGTCTTGCAAGTTTGATGAAAGCCCAGAAGTGATGAGAAGCAAATCTAACCTGCTTTCCTACCAAGCTGCTGAACTCAAATCTGGGGTTCCATGTGATGAGGAAACTAGCTTAACATTTGCTGGTGGCTCTTCCGTTGCAGATGACGATTATAAAGCCACGGAGCTGAAAATAAAATCATTTTTGGATGAGAAGGTAAGGCCCTTTTTTCTAGTATCTAGGGTGAGAAATCAGTTAATACTTTATACTTTGCATGATTCATGTTTTCTCAGATTCATTTGCTAAACTTAGACGTAAAAGACCTGCAATAGGAAAGTTTAAAACTTTTTAAGCTACTAAACTTTGTTAATGATGAACACATGCACATACCGACATTGGACTCTGGTTTCATGGTTGGTGTGGTATATGCTTTCCCTTTTCAATTCTCTAACCAGCTCCTTTGCAACTAAGGCTCTTCTTTGCTTAGTCTACTTGTAATTTTAAGATGCATCTCTACTATCAAAATGAAAATTTGTGATGATATCTGAGTCTGCGCACTTGTTTTTTTTTGTTGTCTGTTGTCAAGGCTCAAGACTTGAAAAAGTTGCAGACCCCTCTGCTCGAGGAATTCCACAATGCTATGAATCCAGGAATACCCCAAGGTGCACTTGGAGTCACAAACAGCTACAATTTACCAAACCTACCAACTATAAGCAAGTCACCTAAACGACTTCCGAGTAGACGACTCTCAGCAATCAGTGATGCTATGCCCAGCCCGCTCAAAAGCTCCAAACGTACATTGAACACAAGCAGAGCTATGCAGCCAGGAACAGAACCAAGTCAAGTCAATGAGTCGACCAAGAAGGGAATAACTAATAGCCGCTGGTGAGTTAGCTCGTGCTCAAGTTACTAGTTATTAAATCCTGAATTTGGTTTTTCTTTCTGGTGGTACTGATGTTTCCTTCTTTGAATCCATCCTCAGTTTCTCAGAGATACGCCGGAAGTGGGAAGAAGAACTCTATGAAGAGCTTGAGAGGCATCGAGGCAAGTGTTTTACTTTAATCCTAAACATTTGAGGCAAAGGTTTTGGATATGAAAACATTGTTAACTTCTTGTAAAACTCCGTGCAGAGAATATGCGACACACTGGTACTGGAGGGAAGACTCCATTATCATCAGCCCACAAAGGATAGTGAACGGCTAAGAGAATAACTGTATGTTTATGATCTTTTACGTTATTACCCCAAAAGATTATTCTTGTCTTTTTTTTTTTTTTTTTTTTTGGGGTTGGTGGGGTAATTTTTATCACTAGTAATGATATTTGATATATGTAGATAGTTCTCAAACGGCTCATAGTATATTACTATATTATTTTTATTATTATTATCATTATTGTTATGTATACATATCTAAATCTGACTTAAAAGTTAGTATCAATCTTTTAGAATTATGACGTTGTTCGTTTATTTAATGGAAATATTTGTTTTAGTTTTATATTTTTTTCAAACTATTTTTTGTTACTTAACCCAATGACATTTGGTGTGACTACTTCTATTTTTAACATAGAAATAGATAGTAATATACACTCAGTGAGTATATTTTTCAAGTCATATGATCAGATTTGGAAACAAAACACTTTGAAAAATTATGTGTTGAAATTTGAAAAAGCAACTTCCAAGAATGCTGCACGAAACTTTGGACTCGAGGAAATGTGTCGGAGACTATATTTTTATATATTAGTATATTCAATTTATGTGTGGAAAAAAACTCACTTTTGACAGCAAAAGAATTCTCTAAGTTGCATAGTTACCTGTTTTTTGAAAAATGTATTTCCATGTCAAAATATGTCTATAATTACAAAACCTAACATGCTGCAATTGATATTTGAAACCAATATGATACGAATACGGTGAATGAAAGTTGAAATGGTTAAAGAATACTACAACTTATCATTTATCAAGTAAAGTTTTTTTTTGCAAGGATCAAGCATCATCAGTATTTACTACAGTATTTGTCGTTTCAGAAAGTCTACGAATGCCATAATTACTTAAAATTAATACAAACAACAGAATCCGACGTAATGTGTGTATTGTTTGCGTCTCTTCTCCGTTACATCATACATGACCAAATCAGTCAATCATTCACCCAAAAAAAAAAAAATGACAAAAGAAGAAGAAAAATAAACCAAAGTGTTTGTTTGATTCAAAAATATTTGGTTGAATGATATTATAGTGCCTGCTGGTTGGAGGATGGGCTGTCCAAAAAAAATAAAGAAGAGAAACATGAAGATCTTATTGCTTTTCTTGATTTTCTCTTCCATATCTATTCATAAATCAATATTCACATGTGCTTTCCGCTTTTTTTTTTTTTTTTTTTTTTTTGTTAAGTGTTTGGACCGTTGTTGATTGAAGTATACATATTGACCCATATATATATATATATATGAAGTAGTAGATACGAAGAGAAGAAAGGACATGTGAATATTTCGGTTTTGTGTACGTTCTCGACAAGTCCATATCTAATGATACGAGAGAGATATAGTGATCGAGCCAGGGAATCCCTTTCTTTTTTTTTGTTTTCCGCCACTTTTTTCTTTTTAATTATCTTTTCTGTGTTGATTTTTATCACACAACTTCTCTGTACCAGTAGGACATAAAGGTTCAGATTTGTGGTTTTTTTCAATCAAATGAACAAATCCAAATACAGTATATAAGTAGGACATACTTTATGAGATATATATTACGACAAAAAAAAAATATTTGAAATTTTAAATATGAGAGGTTCAAAAGAAGGAAAAGGCTGAAACTTGTTTCGTATTTATGCAGATTATATACGGGATTCTTAGAAGCTAAACTGTTGTATTAGTTCTGAATTTCTGATAACTTTCACGAGAGTAACAGGATAAAAATGTTATACAAGACTGTATTATATAAATTCTCGCAACAATAAAGTTAACATTGTATATTTTATTTATATAGAGATAAAATGTAAACATAGATTTCCATAAACTAAAATAGATATAAAGATAAAAGTAATTTATACAAACAGAATTAATAAGAATGAATATATATACGAAGTATTCATAGAAGCCTTCTACCAGCTGCTATTAGTTCACGTGGATATAGTCACATAACTCAAAAAAATTGAAATCTGATTGCGGTCCTACGGATTTTTTTGTGCATTATCCAAAATAATTTCACGAAATTGTGTTTAGAAAAGCAAAAGCATAAATAAATAAAAAAAGCATTATAGTGTGAATTAATAAGTGTATGCGTTGTGATGAATGCTTTCTTTTTTTTTCCTTTATACATATATGAAAGAAAGAAAAAGAAAAAAAAAACTTTATTCATATTCGTGTCAAAGAATTATAATCTCCTGACTTCTTGTGGGAGAGGGTCCTCTCCTCTTTTTCGTTATAATTGTATGTTCGTCCTAATCGTTAATCATTTGTAAACTATACTATATTAATTACTTTGTATTAAACGAAGACGAACGTCGTTAAACCATGCACACGTTTCTAATTAATATACCAAACAATTAAGTTAGGACAAGACTCAAGAGTCGACCAATAGAGTTTCTACGATTTGGTTGTGTCGCCATGTTGCACTACGACGCGGGCCCGTGCGTGGCCAACCGAACACCAATATATAGTGTAATACAAAATGAATCGAATGAAAATATCTTCAAATATATATGACGTGAGAAAGCTGTCCATAGTCTAAATGGTTTTAAATATGTGATATGAGCTAATTCTTATTAATTTAAGTATTTGGATACGAAACTTATTACATTTCTCCTAGCTACTACGAATATTAACAATGCATGTTATATATATAAACCCAAATTTGATTTAGGGATTTAGGGTTACTGGTTATAGCTAGAGATACTATCGGATTTGTGATGGAATGCTATGATTAAGAGATTGCCACTCTGCTTATGCAATCTAATTAAAACTATACTATTTTCTAGTATGATGTATATATATATCACTTTATAAAGTAATGAACTAATTAATGTGTTTAATTAATATAACCGGTCAAAGAGAGCGACAACTTAAAGAAGCAAAAGGCAACCCACCAATTACTTAAAAAGAAAACTCCATCATCCTACCCAAAAAAAAAAAAAAAAACTCCATCAAAATTACATATTTATTTCATTGTTTTATAATATGAAAGGAAACAAAAATTCGAAGGGCAAAATGGGTCACTCACACACACACACAAACACCAATCCTTTTGAACTTCTTCTTAGGGCAACATTATCAATGGAATCTTAGATGCTAATATCTCATCGATAATGTTGGTCTTAGCCACCAAGAAAACACCCAATTCTACTTTTCGTGATTTCGTTTTATGTCTCTTCTCTAATTTTTTTTTTTTTATAACATATATTGTTGCATTGCATCATCTGCCTTTATATGCATTCTTTTAGGTCTGACCTAATTTTTGAAACATATATACCAAATAAAGGATTGCGTCATGAATCACACGGTATATATATAAGGCCAAGTTGATATATTTAGGGCTAATGGATTAGATCGATTTAAAAGGGTGGGAACTGGTACATGGCATGAACCTCTAAGCTTTATTTATGGCTTTTTCTGTTTATATTTACATCCTAACGTTACACGTACGTGGATGGTCGTTTTGAATACAGTTATATATATATATATATATATATATATATATATATGTACATATATAGATCTTTAAAATAAAACAGTTTGTTATATTATATGTATATATATATGCGAGTAAACAGGTAGTAATTAAAATGTTTTTTTTAAAAATAAATATAATATCGACGGCTAATTAATAATAATGTAGATAACGTCTATATTTTGTTTGGCCTCTCTCTATGCAAATTGTCTAAGCATAAAAAAAGAAAAGAAAAAGAAAATTTAACGCAAATGGATAGACGAGAAGATCCCATGCAAACAGACACTACTTTGCAGAAAAAGAAACGGGAAAAGGATCGCACGTATACATCAAACTCAAACCCCACTATAAAATTTAGAAAATGTTATAAGTTATAACAAATGAGTAGTCATCATAAATATAATAAAAATTCAAAAGATTTAGTAGTTTCAATGTGGACTTTTACGTAGCCCACTCGGTACATTTTTAATTCGTTTTCTTTTTCTTGTTCTTTTGGGGCAAAACATAGAAAACAGTGTTAAGGCAAACGATGCAATTTGGCATTTTCAAATAAAAGCTTAGATTTTCATATACATTCTGTTAAATTTTGTCCGTAGTAGATCAAGTTAATATTTTCCTCCTCTTGCAGATGTGTTATTCTAATAAAAGATGAATACGTAAGCATAATAATAATATATATTTTTAGACCTGCTCTAACAAAAAAGTTTTCCCAATATAAAGTGGGAAAAAAGGTGGTCGTAGAAAAATTTAAAAAGAAAAGAAACATCTTTTATGGAAAAAAAGTTGTGGTTCTACATATTTTTACGTTACGTATGAGCTATATAGGTACAAACTAATAACTCAAAATTCTGGATAAAAATTATATTCGTTAAATTGTTTTACAAATTAACGAGTTTTGAACCAAAAAGCTTTTTTTTTTTTTTTGTGTGGGACTGACTACGTGTGAAAGAGAGAGGCTGAGGGAATCAGAGGCGGAGACTCGGAGACCTTTTTAGTGTATATATATATATATATATGACGTCGTCATTTATCGTACGGACACCATAGTTGAAGAACACAGAGATAGTCCCTTGTCTATTTTGTCTATTTTTTCATTCTCATTCATATATATAATATATATTTTTTTTTTATCAAATACATCATATTGTATAATCTTGACTATCCTAAGAACACCAAATATATACATATAACATATAGTTATATGTTTAAGTTGAAATATACATTAGTGCATAAAAACAAATATGTTCACAAAAACTAACAATACTAATATGATCACTCTCTTTCTTTCTCATACTTCCATTTATTTTCTTCTATACATGATAAGAAAATATGGTATTCTTTCGTTTTGATAAATGTTTAATTCAATATATATATATATATATATAAACGAACGAAGTGGAGTTTCTCTCTTTTAGAATGTCCAATTAGAAACAATTCTAAGTCTTTGGAGATATGATTCATAATTGAAATTGAAAAAAAATAAACGTGGAAACAAAGAAGCAAGAAAAGACAGGAGGGAAGTGATGTGTGTTCCCATGATGAAGGCATCTTCGTGGTACAATCGTCGTCCCTTGCACACAAATTTTAGTCTGCCACTTCCTTCGGACAATCTCCTCACCTAACCATTTTAGCTAAACTGTTTCTTCTCTAATAATTCGTTTTACCTGAATTCTATTTGGATAACGAAAAATTAATGAGATTACGTCATATATTTAGATAACGACTAAATACTAATAGAATACTACTATAGTAAGATCATAATTTTTTTTAGCTGGTAATTAATCGCAAACTCAAATATGTAAGTTGTAAAATCAAGGTCCTTGTGTCGGAAGTCCATAATTCAGGATTCATATCAGTTTTATCTTTTACCATAGCGTGAGTGAAATTTTAGAAACAAACCATTGTTATTTATACAAAATGAAAACAAAATGCAGGAGAAAAAAAAAACAAAAGGGTGTGAAACTGTGATTACAGAGAAATCAGAAGGTAGAAAAAAAAACAAAGATTCTTTTTTAGGAAGTGGCAACACAGAAAGATTCCCAATTTAGAAATCCTCTGTTTCTTCGATCTCCTTCAATACATCTTCTTGATCTTTGAATTTTCTCAACACCCTTTACTTCAATTTCTTCTTCTTTTTCAGCTTCTTCTCCAACTTCTTCTTCTTCTTCGTAGTATTCTGGAATGTCTTCTTCGTTATCTCTCATGGTGTAGGTTGTTTCTTCTTCTTCTTCTTCTTTGGTCTCCGCCTCTATGTGGTCATCAGAACCAATCAATATCGCGAGTCTGACACAGCCATTGCTTCGGTCCTGAAGGCACCGGTTACGCGGAGGAGGTTTAGCTGCCGTCATTACCAATCTTCCATTCTCACGGTGAGACTTTACTTCAATGCAATCAAAACCGCTCATACTTGTCAAAGGAGGTGGAAGCGAAGCCATAGCATTTCTCCTCTTATCTTGTCGTGATGGTCTTGATGTAGCAGACGCAGTTCTAGTTTCCACTGTTTGTGATTCGGATGAAACAGAGAACAAGTATTCATCCTCATGAATGATATCAGAACCCGTCTCGCTCCCTAGGCTCTCAGTGCACAATGCTAGGCTCTCATCGCTGAGAGTTCTACGTGAAGATGGGGACTGAAACAGAGATAATGTCTTCTTCTCTTCATCATTGGAGCTCGAGTTTGAAAGGGACTCGAGGAAGCTCCAACTTACTGAGTTAGATCCCGGGTTGGGACCTGGTGTGGACAAGGAGGCTGCATTAGTGGTAGTATTGCTCTCTTGTGGAGTAATGGGAGAGTCTTGAAAATGGGATTTGAGAGGTGTGGATAGATGAAGATTATTAGGAGAAGAGAGTCTGAGTTTTAGAGCCCTTGGCTCAAAGTGCTGAGACTCAAAGTAAGATTGATATACAACAGTAGCCATATGGTTCAAAGATGAGGATTTCTTGTAAGAGAGATTTTGTTGTTGTGTGGAAACAAGGAAGCAGAGAGAGAGAGAGACAAGTAGGATAGAAGATGAGAGAGAGGCTTTGGAAGTGAATTTGAGGGATAAGGAGAGGGAGAGGGTCTCCATTTGTAGTGCCAAAAAGTTAACTTTTTTTACAAAAAAAAAAAATAATTAAAGAAAAAAATTGAGAGAGAGAGAGAGAGATGGTGGGTAAAGTGCTTTTTTCCACACTACCACTTGAATAAAAATGGAAACTATTTATTTATGCCACATAATGTATATGCGAATAAATATATACAGTATATTGTAATGTTAAAAGGTGAAGGAATAGAATAAGATCATTGTACAGTTCCATATATGTAAATATGCATTAGAAATTATTTCACAAAGAACGTGTCCTTTTTTTTTTTTTGGTGTTGGGTACAAAAGGGAAACAACTAATGTAGTAATGAAGGAAGCTAGCTTTGGTGAATGAATCATAGTTTTTTCACTTAAATAGGAAAAAAAAAAAGAAAAGAAAGAAAGATGTGATCGAGTCAGAGTCGAGGAAATGTCGAGCCTCGTGCATGTGATGCGGCTAGAAAGAACCCACAAAAAGAAAGAAGGGAAAAAAGTCCATTGAATGCAGTAAAATCATGCATATCATCTTCTTGTTTGAGTGCACATGTGTTTTTTTGGACCCTAATAAACAAATATTAATTCTTAGTCCTGCCAAATTTTGAAATTCCGAACAAATATTTAACCCAAAACCAAAATATAAATATGTTTTAAGAGTATATATTTTTATAATGTAACTCAAATTAAATTCTTAAATTATGTATATCTATATATAAAATATTATATTATGTATATGTATGAGACCATAACCAAAACGAATTACAATTCTTTTCCAAACCGTAGCGTCGGTCGATTCCAACTTATATCATGTAAGAGATTCACGAGGTTTCTTTTTTCTTTTTCGTTTTCTAACCAGTTTAAAACGTTGTTACTTGGTGTACTACAAAAAATACAAGCTTGTTATTCCTTTTTTCTATTATTTACCAAATATTTAGAAAAATCCGACAATAAACAACACATATCTCGTTTCCACATTATTGATAATAGCCCAACAATTCTAAAATCTTTCTTATTAACCACAAAAATATAGGATTAGTGATATCGATCAAGGCGTGAATTGGTTCGTGAACTGAAAATGTGCACCATGCATGCATCATCCACGAAAAACAAAAAGTGTAGTATTAATTAAAAAAAAAAAAAAAAACAAAGTGTGTCAAGAACACGCTTACCCAACAACACTGTATTTGAATGCAAAGAATAAAACCCATCTTCCGTCCACTTGCTACGACCTAAGAATGATATAAAATACCCCTTAATTACAACATTACTATATATATTAGCTAAAACACAAGGGAATCAAACACATAAGTGGGTTAGCTAACGGGTTAAGGGGAAGATTGTTTCGGCTTTGCTAGATCTATATATATGTATATTTTGTAAGGCTTTGAGTCTAAACAAGAATAGATTCATGATTTATGGGACATGTCCCAACTCACAATATAATTAATATCTCATCATATATTGTTGAGTGTGATTTTCTTATCGATGGTGAAGTCAGTTTCACGTTAGGGTTGGATGGAGTGGTAATATTTCCTTTCCCCTACAAATTCAGGTTTTAAAGAGCTAGCGGAATTTCGAAGTTACGTTAATTGAAAAATTATAACTAAAAGTGTTCAACCATGATAGTTCGAGTATTTCACCCATGAATTTGTCTATCATTATTATTTTTTCAGATTTATTTGTAAAGGATGAATGTCCAAAATTTGTATTAAGTAAACGTAACTAGCTCTTACATCAAATATCAATTGTGTATGTTTTTAATTTATTTATTTTATAGGATCGAAATTTAAACTCGAAAACTTTCCGGTTAAGAAAGAAGACGAAAGCCACCTAGGTTTATACTTTGGAATATTCTCTCTAAAATTCAGGACATTGTGGTTATAAATAGTAATCGTCCAGGTTGGGTTTGGTTGGATTAAGTTAACATCAAATTTGTCCTTTTTCTCTTTGGCTAGCCAACACTAAGTTGCTTTTTTTTTTTTCAGTCTCCAAGTCCAACCCATGTTACCCCTATAAAATCGTACGGAGTAGCTTATGAAGACACACATAACATTTAGACTCGTGAATCAGCAATTTGATTCCCCACTATCACTTTCCCTCTTCTGTCTTCACTATTTTCTCAGATGCTTACGCTATTTTATATATATAATGTACGAAAAACCCTAAATTTAAACCCTTTCTTTCTGAAAAAGAGAGGGACAAAACAACACTTGCATTCAACCTTTACAAGTAAATAAATGCCCTAAGGTCTCGTCACTCAGTACTCACTAGCTATCTTTTCCTTAACTCTAACCCATGTGAACGATGATATAGAGAAATGTGTTAAATAGCAACTGTATATGTTTGCACTTGCTAGTCAAAATCTTTTGTATACATTTTAATACAAAGAAAATGCAAAAAGAAAAAAAATCGTTTCGAATAAGACTGTTAAGATTTCAATAAATCTATAGAAACAAGAATAATAGAGAATGCTATTCTCAGAATTATATTTGTTAAATCAATCAAGACTCGAAACTGTAGAAAACCCTAAGTTCAAATACTCATTAATCCATAATCCTAAGTAAAATATGAAAACTACTGATCAAATAAAATATATAAGAAATGTTTGCAATCCGATTTTTTTTATCCTCCATACATATGCTCTTGAAATATTTGAATAGTTAATAGTTACGTTGATGAAAACACTAAAATGTTGTAAATTTGTTTGTAAACAAAAGACAATTAATTAAACATGTGAAAGCAAAGTTGGACCCTAGCCTATTCTTTTACCGTATAACTTGCAAGAAAGAAAGGCTAGCTAGAAAGTGTAAGCCGTTCCTAATTTTGAAATGAGTGGGAGAGAAATTAAAATTTGAGATTCTGGGTTTCCTGTAATGGCAAAGCTTTACTAGCTAGTTTGTGTACTGTGTGTGAATAAAGAAATGTGTATACAAATAAGAGGCTAGCTAGACACCATCGATGAACTGTGAGCATAATTATATATATGCCATGCTAGTTGTGTGTTGTATAATGATCACTTTAACTAGCAGACCAAAACTTTTCTGAGTTGTATAGCAGACATGAATTCACAAGTAGATCTATAAACTATAGTTTCTCACAAAATTTGATGAGACCATACATAGGGGGTTTGGTACGACGAATACCTTTGATGTGTATTATATATGACAACTAGATCTCAGTTTTTTTTCCTTTTCCCTATTCACTTCTTTTCCAAAATTAGTACTCAGCATCTAGTACTAGCCACATTTTACAATATGTTCCAAGTGGATGATCAAGCAATACTCAGTGCACTAATATATGTGAATCAGAATGTGAGTATTAATTCGCATTATCAAGCAGATGCGAAGATGATTTGAAACAACATGTATAAATGTTTAATATATATACTCACAGATCGTAATTAAACTTCAATTCTTGTGATCACACTTCTTCGTGATACCTATAGTTCAACATATAATTTTCTGAAAGAAGAACTTCATTTACCATATCAATGTATAATTCATATATTCATTATGGATCAACTTTGAACGTTCGTATAGTATTAAAGTCAACCAAAACCATGAGCTAAAAGATATATTCATCATATTGAATATGGGTATAGGAGAGTAGAAAATCATAATTGTGTTGGCAACACAAGTTACATATCTACATAAGATTTTTCGTACGTAATGTGACGGAAAGCATCATCAATTTCACAGTCAAGTACGGAAACATGACAGCTGTTGTTTGTACTTACAGTATATGGATGACATAATTAGTTTCTGTATTTTTTCTTATATATAAAAAACGCAGAAAATTTGGTGATTTTAATAGAATCTTCCCTATCACAATTTTTTTTTTTTTTTTTTTGTGGGATAAAATTCCACATTATATTATCAACCTTATAATTAACAACAATGTAGAGAAATCCTCGTTATAGTTTTGCAGTCTCTCTCCTTTGCCATGAAGGAAGATGATTTTATCATATAGTTGACACACTAACTATGGGAACGATTATAAAAATAGAGGGTTCTTGTATAACGTAAGCATGGGAGAGTAGAAAGTTATATGACATAATTTAATGAGGAAAAGGTCGAAAAAGGAGCTGACCTGCAGACGTAATCTGTCGACAAATATCAATCTATATATATACATACAGAACCGATCCAGTCTTTACCACATGTGCGGTCCTAAGTTTCGAACCAAAGCATAGAGAAATGAATTAGAAAGTAGCGCACATATAGCAACCTTTGGCCGCTCCAAACGATCATGCTTTACTTTTTGATCTTGTGTCCTATTACTAAAAGATGCTTTTGTTATTTTATCAATGTTTTAACAATTATTAAGCGAATACCGACAGGCGACACAAGCAAAACTAAAGTATGATTATTTTTATATAAGAAAATAATTTGACTTTGCTGTGTCACTCGAGCCCATGATGTACACACACACACAAACAAAAAAAACAGAGTGAAACTCGAATCGTTATCCATCAATATTAGTTATTTGTTTTCAAGTAATGGAGGATCTAAAGGCAGAGAAGAATACGTCATACCACTTGAAAATATATAGTGGAGACAGAAACTTAAGCATTACGTTTTTGATGCAATATACCAAACTAGCAATAGTGTGGTTATATATTGTAAAACGAGACGAGACGAGAGTGTGCATCTTTAATCTTTAGATGTGTAGTTGGCATATTAATTCGAAAGCCTTTTTCTTTTTTTCCAGAGCTTTCCAAAAGATTCAATTTCTCATTTGGATTCCGCGATTCTGGATTTTGTCCAATTACTTATTCAGCTATATTCGAAAGGAATTTTTTTTCCAAAATAAAAAAATGTAATCATCGGAAAATTAACTTATTGATATATCGAATCTGAAACACATGATTCTAAACCAAAGTGTACATCTCATGGCTCAAAATGGTTTGCATAAGCAGAAAAAAACAATCTTTTTGACTATGTAAGTTAGTGGAGTCTTTACGAGCCACTCCTTAAACTTTTTAAAATTGCTGACCATGAATTAAATTTAAATCGAGCTTATATGTATAAGCAATGCTTACACTTGTTAAGGAACCATAGGTCACAAAATTACTAGACAAGGAATAAAAAATAAAGAATTTTATGTATTGGCCACATAGAGTTATTGTTGGTCTCCCTTTGCTTTAGTTGAAAGCTTGACATCCACATGAAAATATCATTCTCATCCATAACTATTGTCTCACTCACATATCATCCAAGCAAAACTATAACTTTCACAAAAGCAGATTTCGATTTATAACAAAACAAGTGTAGTTTGGATAAGAATAGTGATTCAAACGAACAAACACAGTCATGGATACTTCATCGTTCTACACCATTACTAGAACAAGAATCGTTC